TTTTTTTTTTTTTTTTTTTTTAATTTTGTTTTTCTTTTGCTCTCCTCAAAATACCTGGCCATTTGTCTGCCTGTCTGTGAACATTAGTATAAACCGTACAGAGAATTTGTTCACAAATGGATATTCTCTGATTGATCTGCCTTAAATCAAAGCCTTGCAAATTTTGATATTTAAGTTTTGGGGGTTCTTTGCATAGTGCCCATAGGAGATTTTCAAAATTGTCTCAAAAATGGCTCAAAAGCTTTTCTGCAAAAATTGTGTATGAATAAAGTAAATTGCACTTATAAATGCAGTGTAGGTCTAATTTTCATTAAAAGTTCTAAAATTTGAAAATTGCAAAATTTCAATTTTTTTCAAATCTTTCTTACACCTTTAACATTGTTGCTAGAGATTTCTTCCATAATTCCAATTCGATAATAATCTGTTGTTCATGATTACATCTTTAAATCATTTTGGGTACAGTTTTTTAAAAATATTAGTAGTTTTGAGTATATTTGAGTGAAATTGACAATTTTAAAGCAATACGTAATAGATTGAAATTTGTTTTCATTTTTTTCTGTAAACTATTTTTAAAGATTGAGCATGAGTTTGGATTTAGCCAAGAAATTAATGGCATTAGCGCCATTTTCATTAAAATTAATAATATATGTGTTATAATATATAACAATTAAAAATAATATGAGAAAATATGTTGTAAGATCACTAGTTCATATTTGTATTAATTATTTATTAATGGTAATGGGTTAACTGGGTAGTTGTTACATAGAAATTGGTATTTTGTTTTAAATTTAAAAGCTTCGGAATGTGAATATACCATTTTTAGAGGATATATGGTTGTAGGAGTAGTTACAGCAGGTTTTTACTGTGTGTTTCTATTTTAATATCATCTGGATGCCATGCACTGCTGTAGTTGTGTTGAAAACAACAATATTGAGAAATGTACGCACTAGTTCAATGTATGCAGTGTCATCCCAGTGATGTAGATAATTACTTAAAAATAAATGAGAATGGTCATTAACGTTTGTGAATGACATTGTTTCAGATCATAAACTTGCAGGATCACTAGATCTGCAAGATCTTTCTCTTGCTGTGCAGCAACCACAAACTGATCTCCTAGAACAAACATTACTCTCAGCACCGCTAAATGGTGACTTAACAGATAGTGTAGTTTGTTTCGGTATGTACTTCTATTTATGTAATTTGTTGGTTTTGTCCATTGCTTTTATAAGTAATAGTTGTTCTTTAATATTTTCAGGGAATTATGATGATGTAAAAATCTCTATTGTGGATCCAAATATGGAAACAGTTGGATCCTTTACAGATATTCTTTTGGAACCCACGTGTGTTGAAAACACAATTTCTAATGAAATTTCAGACTCTAGTCTTCCCCAGCAAACTCCAGAGTTGAATTCTAAATATAAAGTGACCAAAAGTAGTGAAGTTGAATGTCAAACACCAACAATAGAAGATAAATTTCAACAGAAATCTAGAACTAGAAAAGGCGATTCGTCAAATAATAGTGGTGAGGAATTTTGTATTTCAATGCAATGCGATTTCACTGAATAAACATAATAAAATACTTAATAATTGGTCTTCAAGAATTTTATGATTTACTTTCTCGCTTTACGCCTTGAGAAAAGAAAGTTATGTAATCATGTGCCAGAAAAAAACTTATTGCTGAGTTCTGGTAATGAAAAAGTGGATAAATCCTTTTACTAAGTTTTGAAAAAAACCTTCTTAATACATGGTTTAGCCAGATTCCATGTGTTGTCGTTTCTTGATACTGAAACCTCAATTGACTGCAAAATGTACGTTTGTCTGTCTGTCTCTGTCTGTCTCTCTGTCTGTCTGTCTCTCTGTCTGTCTGTCTGTCAGTCAGTCGATCAGTCAATGGTAGAACCTCAACCATTTAGCTGTTTTTTTTCGAAATTGATATTTCCTGATTGATCTGAACGGACTGGAGGCTTTGGGAGTATCTAACGGATATTTTGATTGTTAAAGGTTTTTTACATCAATTGGGCATTTACCTTCTAATGTCTTTGCATGAGTTCAATCTACGCGGCGCTCCTCTGGCGTAGTGGTATGATTGTTGGCACGTTATGTTGGAGGATTTGTGTTTGAGTATTGGAGGGGAAAAATAATTTGCTGCCTGAAAACACTTTTGCTAGTTTATGTAGTAGTATAATGTTGCAGAGCATTTAGAAACAATGCAAGAAAGTATGTGCTTTAGCAGCACCACTAGTTTAAAATAGTTATGATTATATCTATGCATGTGGGATGAAAAGAAGTGATGGTAAATTCCTCAGGAATTTCTTTTACTTAATGGTTTTAAATATATTTTATAGTTCATCATGCAAGTGCCATGCAAATGCTAAAACTACATTTGGATGTAGGCCTATTTTGTTAGTTCGAAAGGTGCTCTACCAGCTTTATTTGAACATGTTACAACAGACATTTTTATCATTACCAGTACATAAAAAATCCTTCAAAATGTCACCTGAGTAAGTATTCTTGAAGTGGGTCATCCCAAAGATTAGTGTTTAAGTTTCAACCAAATCCAGACTTTTTAATGTTGCTTGAGGCAATCGGGAATCTAATTTTTTAGAAATTTGCATCATAACTATAGTTACTAACAATTTAAGTTTTATGCGTCATTTCAGAAATTTAATGCTGTATTTACCCAAGTATAAGGCAAGGTTTTTTCCTAAGTATTTTGTTCAAATATACAGGGTCATCTTATATTTGCAGATTAAGCCTAGTTGTTTAGGATTTATGTTTTTGCATTGACATTATATGTCATAAAACTTGTAAATGTTGATGAAACAATAAGCTTAGAAGGTGATAAAACACCACTTGTATATATAATATGTAAATATCTGCGTAAATATATTGTTATGTATTATATTAAATATATTCACGGCACACGCCACGAATTTGCTGGGCGATTCACACTGATATTTTTTATTGAGTCGGTAAAGAGAGAATCGCAAACTAATGGCATTGTATCAAGTGAAATGCATGTGAAAATTAATATAATCATTGCTGAGATTTTGTTACACAAAACTGATCAACAACGCCACCTGGACTCTGGTTCATTGCTCCCAAATATGAATCTGCGGTTTTGCAAGAAATGGAAATGAAAAATGCACGTTGATAGGAGTACACATTCTACATCCAAACACAGAACGGGAAGATAAACAAAAATTCTTAGCAAAACCTTCCTGAACGTAGAAACCTGCCACTATTTCCCTGTGAAATGGAGAACCAGAGATGTAAGACTTTGCAAAGCACGACTCAATCTCATAAACATTAAACAATGTGGATTTCAAATATACTGTGTTAAAGAATGTGAAAGAACTGTTAAAGAATCAGAGGCAATGAACAATGAACAAGAGGAGGAAAAATCTGTTAGCATAGAACATAACGTTTTTTGGTGTCGACAGATGAAAGACTAAAAGCTGCGAATTCAACACGCGAAAACTTTCAAACAGCACCATCAAAGTACTAATAAATTTTGAAATTCAATATTAACAAGCATTCAAATGCAATCTATGTAAAGAGTGTAAAAGGCTGTGAGGGTTGAGTCACTTGGACATAATATTAGAGTTGTATTTCAAAATTTAATTTCTAATTTTATACGGGTGTTTTTCATTTCTGTATTTCATTTACATGTGTAATCATCATTGTATTTGTATTTTAACTTTACTTCATCATTACTATTTCTTTTATATGAACTTGTTTGAACTAGTTTTGTCTCTTGTTACTATGTTTAGATTCTGTAGTGTCTGAAAATAAGTAGTGTCTGGAATAAAAACCTCATTTTTCGTTGTCCATGAAGATGTTTGCTAATAATGGGAACAACAGCATACACAGGACCAAACGCCCTTGTTTCCATAGACACTCTTTTAAACAATTTTGTATTGGTATAGATACATTGACAATGTTAAAGGCTTATTACCTAGTCAAATTAGACAAATCGAGTGAAAAATATCCAAGAGTTTTGAAACTTGTTTGTGGTACCAAGTGCAGAATGTTCTAACCATCCTGAAGTGTGGGAAGTGAGCCAGGGGCGAGGCTGCCATTTGAAGGTGTTTTTTCGACCTTTTTTGCATATATCTTCATAATTATCGATTTCACAGAAAATTATGTTTATACAAAATTAAAATAGATAAAATTTCCTACAAAGAAGTTCCTATAATATTTTGTTGTAAAATTAATCATTTTAAAGTTATAGGCTTATAAATTTCTTGTTTTTGTTTACGACAAGGCCCTTGTTATCTCCCTTATAAGAATGATGTTTTCATAAGTTCAATGCACTGAAGTAATTTTATTTTTGTTCACATTTCTGAACAATATGTATTTCCATATTTTGCGCAAAAAACAGGAACATTTTACACCTTTCGAAATCTTATTTTGTATGTAGTCTTGCTAGTATCTATGGTCATTTGGATCTGAGATTACCTCGGGTATGAAAACTGATAATTCATAGTTTATTTACAGATGTGTGCAATTAGATGAGTGCTACTTGTAAGTAGAAAAGATGATCTGAGAAAGAGTTGTGAGGAGACCTCCGAAATGCAACTGAACCTAAATTTATTGTCCCCATATTGGCACTTTGAGAGAACATACAAACAAAATATAGGTATGCTTGAAAAGCACATTACAGGGTATACATATTACACAAAATTGCTCAATTTTGTCAAACAGAGATGAGACAGTAGAGCATATTTAAATTTAATATGTCAGTTTCTGTTTAATGCTGTGGTTTAAAGATGATTTAGCACATCCTTTAATTAAGGTTTGGAGAACAACAAGGAGTACATTCTATTGTTTCAAAAGCCTTTTGTAGCAATTATTTATTTTACTGTAATTTCACTGTTTTAGGTTTTCAACAAGTTAATAAATCTGTGTTGGCTCGAGTCTCAGCATTGTTACCTGCTTCATATCTTACGATCAGAAAATGTTCACGTAAAAGAGGTGAACAGTCAGGCAAGTTTGTTTCTATAAAATGTAGAAGTATATTTCTTCAGATTCTCCTGTCTTATTGTTTTGTGTGATGTAGGTTGTGGAGTATTTGCTCGTAAGACTATTCGGCAACGAACATGTTTTGGACCAATTGAAGGATTTTTGAGAACGTCAACATTTTCTCCGCAGAGTAAGGGTCAAAAATTTAAAAACAAGCTTGTTTTTTTGGTTGAAACAGGCCCTGATAAAGTTCAAGCTCTAGATATTTCTAGGAAGAGTAAGTTACCTTTGTAAATGATACATTAAAAATATATCTTTCTAGAATATGTATTTATGAATTACCTGTTGCAGATGCATTTAATTGGATGCGTTTTGTGCGTGTGGCACAATCTTGCAATGAGCAGAATGTGATTTTAAGTCAACAAGGTCAATCACTGTTCCTTACTACAACAAAAGTTATTCATCCAAGAGAAGAATTGAGGGTATGGTACAGTTTGGTTTATGCCAGGCGTCATGGACTACCTTTCCTTCAACCTTTGAAACTTGGTTTGAAAGGTAACAAAATAAAAAATATTTTATTAATGAAATGTCATGATTAAGCACAAAATGAATTGGCTGAGGGATAAGGGATTTAACTATTAAATTCTTTTTCTGTTCTAAATAACTGAGAAAGTCTCACACTTTTTATCACACTCCAGTATTTTTTTCAGTGATTGGAATATTTCTCTTGTTTATGGAGAAGGAAAAAGGAGAAATGAAACTTATCTGAGGAGGAAGAATTTCATATTATTTATCCCTTTTGGTACTAAACCACCAATTACTACATTTGTAATTTTTGCATAGAACAGTAATCAAATGCAACAAAAAAAGTGGTTTGAAAGTTTACAATACATTTCTTACTGATCCAACTTTGATGCCAAAAGCAGACAATGAAGTCTCTTAAACAAGAGAATTTTTGAAGTTCTTTCTCCACATTTTGACCCAGGTCCTGCTGTTTAGATTTTCTATGTTTGATTTCATTAATTTTATCATTAAATTTTTGATAAATGAAATTCTTATCGGCTACTTACAAACAAGGATCCAGATGTTAAGATTTTTGATATTTGTATTTTGGAAAAATTATTGCAAAATTTTCCAAAATTAAAGGAACGGAGAGGGAAAATACTATTAACAACAATGAAAAACTGCTTATTCATTTCTGTCTTTAATAATCTAAGAAAAATATATGTATTTTTTAAACATAAAGAAAAACAAATTTATATGGGAAGCAAGGGGAACTAAATCAATCACTGACTCTACAATAGTGAATGAAGAATTATTCGATAAAGTAAGGAATACAAAAGTTTTCGAAGGAAAAGAACTAGATTCAGATCACTATCTACTACAAACAAAACTTGTATTCAAATAAGAAATTAAGAAGAGAAGCCAGAAAATTAAGTCAGCTCCAAAGTTGAAAACTTATTTACTAGAGGAAGAAAGTATCAGACAGTTATATAAGAATTGGATTACAGAGAAGTTATAGATGGTGGATGTACAATCTATTGACATTTTCTTGGCAACACTAAAAAAAGCAATATTATTTGCAGCCAAGGAAGCTATAGGTTTTAACAGGCCAAAGGAGAACTTGGAATAATGTAATACAAGAAACCATTGCCAAAAAAAGAATGTTTACCAAAAATATCTTCAAAGACATATCAAAATATATACAAAATCAATTTGAAACTAATCCCAAAGGGTGTGGGTAAACCATTACACAAGATGTTGGAAATGCAATAGACCACCAAATACAAGCAGAAATAATACTGGTATAACTGAACAAAGTAGAGAACAGAAAATAACTATTGAAGAACTAGAAGCAGTATTAAAAAGAGCCAAAAATAGGAAAAAGCAAGGTGCGGATGAAATCCCAATAGAACTTCTAAAATACAAAGGAAATGATCTCATGAATACTTGTGGAAGGGTTAATGAAGGTGGATGGAATGAATAATTTATGAAAACAAAATATTAAAACAAATTGAAAGTTTTCTTTTCAGTAAATAACATCAATTTTCATTTACTATCTCCTCTTTCTTTTCTTTTTTTTACTCAGAGCAGCTTTCATTTTAATTTTTCAACAATTAAAATGTACTAACAATAATGTAAATAAGGAATTTTAATTTCTTGAAATATTTGCCATCTAAGAGCTAACTATTTATATAACATCAAAATAATACCTATTTAAACTTAAATATCATTTTGTACTTGTTTAATCAATTGCAGCAAAGTTAAAGTATTTTCATTTAGATTTGTTTAGTAAGCTGAATAATTCTTGTAGCCAAATTTGACAGTTTGACATATATTTAAAAGAAATGCATATGTTCACAATTATGTTGAAAAATTGATTCAACAAACGATTATTAATAAACATGATTGACTTTTTTTTTTGTCTAATTTCAATAATGCCAATTTACAAATTGTCTGCGAAACTTGGGCAAATGATATTATGTGCCAAATTAAGTGATAAAAGATTTCTTTACAGTATTTCTTTCTTGTTAATTAAACTGTTAAAGGGGTCTTTTAGCAAGTAATTCAATGTAGAAATGTCACAAAATATAATGTTTTAAATTATCATAAATCATTTCATCCAAGTGCTTCATTAGTAGTCACCACATCTAATAATCTAAGTTGTTCAAAATGTATATTAAACTTGCCTATACTTATAATATAGAATTCAGGATACATTTGAATAATTCACAACCAATCATTTGTGAGGGTAGTGACCAATCAAGAGAAACAAACTATAAAACTCCTGAATTGTATGAGCTATCTGTCATTTAAATTACAATGTTAATGCAGTGCATTACTTTCAGGTATGCAGGCTTTATCTTTCTATTGTATAGAAATTTAGAAGAATTAGTTTTTTCAAGAAAATTTTAGTTGGGATGTTTTGTTTTTAATCAGCCAATGGAGTGATTTGCACATATATTATTGTCCAATTGTAAAAAAGAGAAATCTCTTAAGAGTTTTTGAGTAAAGAAAGTCAAATACTTAATTTTGGCATTCTATTTTCAAATGTTCATGCAAATATCATTCCTTGTGGTTCAAACACACAACACTTTTTTCCAGGTACATGTGACCCATCAAGTACATGGTTATGTTTCAAATGTAGTGACCGTTTTGTATGTTCTGGAGATTTGCAATATCATCTCAATATACATAATTTGGATATATTGAAAATGGTATGTTTTTTGATTTGTTTTGTTTTGTTTTTTACTGTACATTTAATATCTTGCCTACCTTAGTAGTGTTTGTTTGTAAAATTATTTTTATTTATGTTGTATACAGGAAACCAATACATGTGTTAGAAAGGCTACATGTGCCCTGTGTTCAAAGAAAGCAACATATAAAAATAAAAATAAAGATTATGCATCAAAATGTCAGGTATGTTACATTTTACCCTTATCTTAGTAGACAAAGAGGAGGCTTAAGATTGGTTATGATTGGTGGTGGCTTGTTAGATGGCATAAAGCTTCAAGTACTGTAGGGACTCAATTAAGAGTTGGGCTAACAACCACTGTGGATATCGGGAGATTTTATTTATAGGAGATGTGACTTCTAATCACTGGAGAACATAGGAATTTTTAAATTTTTGAAGTTTTGACAGTGTAGGCAAAATAACACTTGGAAATAATTAAATGGTCATTTTTTAAACTACTTGTGTACATTAACATAAGAAATTTACTAAATTAGAACCCAGAAAAAATTTGGTAAGATTGATAAAGCAATGACATACAGTCAGTTGCTACTCTTATTGTTCTTCGGTGTTAAGAGGTGAAAGCTAACACTTCAGCTGTTGCTCTCCAAAAAACAGTGTGCCCTGAATCTTGCTTTTGTTCCTGCATGCTAAAATTTCCCTTTTGTGGAATCAGTGTGGGAATAACTTGAGGGTAATACAGCCACGATTAATAGAGTCCTTACTATAATTTGTTTGATAAGGAATGAATTTATTCTTCAGCCATAAATGATGAAGAAATGGAGGTACAAATGTGGTGGATTTGAAGGGGGTGTTTTGTAAAGTATTTTAAATTTTCTGGAGGTGCCTTGACTAAGAGAAAATTCATAATTTTTAATAATAATGATGGATAAACATGTTATTAGTAAAAAATATCTTTATGTGAACATTGGAGCAACTTTTACAATAACTGCAATTCTTCGTATTGTTTCAGATTTGCAAGAGTCAGTACCACCCATGTCATGTAGTCCAGCATAATGATAACCAAAAAAAGCAAAAACCTTCTAATTCTAGGAGTAAAAAGTATTTATGTGAATTTTGTGGCTTTCAATTTTCTCATTCATATAACAGAGACCGGTACGTAGTCAATAATGCCAGTATTTATTTGCGGGTCAAGTTATATAGACTTATTTTCTTTTATTAAGGGTCATGTTTCTGTCTGTTATTTTGTTACTGTCCAAAATATTCTAACTCTTTTATTTTTAATGTGTCTTGTTTTGGAAAAACAAAAGCCAGAATATTTTTAACGTAGTTAAAAATTTTGTATAATCCACAGGCAAGTCTATTTTGATTGTAGATTTTAATGAATCCCTCACAAATCTTATGGAAATTAGGTTTCGGTTTAATAGACTGAAAATTAAGTATGTTGTTTCTTAGATCATATTGATCAAAAGTCAGTTATTGCCGTTAAGCAAAAACGTTCTTTTTGATGTAATGTAAGTTTTAAAACTGAGATGATAGAAAGGCACGTATGTGCACTCAAAACTTATTCAAATGAAACAACCTTACTTGTTTAGACTTGTGAATTATGTTATTTAATTTTCAATGAGTCACTGTGCTTCATTTTTGTGAGCCCCCTTGTCTTCAACATTAAGATAGTAGATCTCCTTGCCTTAGACTGTAGAGTGAATCATTACCATAAGTCCCCTTGCCTCTCACTATCAGTGTGCTTGATTATCGAGTCCCTTTGCCTCACACTATCAGGGAGCTTGTTTATTGCAAGTCCCTTTGCCACTCATTGCGATACCTATTTTATCATTATTTGCATCACGGTTACAAATTGTCTAGGGGTGAATGCCACATCGCAAACAAAACAGCTTGGCCTTACCATTTTCCTATCAGTGTTTTCCTTGATACGTCAGAATAGTTCAAGTTCTTGAAAGAAAGTAACGGAAAAGCGTTGAGTCGTAGATGCATTGACATATCGCTCTATTCACCTATATACCCTGTCCCACGCCATCTGTACTGCCACTCATTCTTATTCTCCCTCAGAACCTCGCAGATACTGGAGTGAGAAGAGAGGAGATAGTGTCTTACACTTGGTAACAAAAGCTTATGCTCAAAGCAATATTTTGAAGCAAAAAAAATCATGACAACAGTCGAAATAGACATGCTTTGTTTGATAAACAAAGCCCTGTAACATGGATCCATTTGATCAGTAAATCTCATTTTTCGTATCTCATCTTTTTATCTTAAATATTAACTTTCACAATGCAATAACAGTATGTGTAAAGTCGGTTAAAGTGGGAAGAAAGTCTTTTTCCTCCCAGAAAAAGAAATGTCATAATTCACAACTCTAAACAAGTGAGGTTGTTTTATTCGAATACGTTTTGAGAGCACATATTTGCCTTTCTATCATCCGACAAATCAACATGATCTCTGTTTTAAATTGTACATTAGATCAAAAAGAACAACTTTTTTGCTTAACGGCCATAATGACTTTTCATCAGTATGATCCAAGAAACAACATACTAAATTTTCAGACAATTTGACCAGAAGCTCATTTCCATAAGATTTGTGTGGGGTTCTCTGACTTATTTGTATGTGTGTAGATTTTTCTTGACTTCACACACAAACTATTATTGTTACAGTATATTAACTGCATAAATATTGGTGTGTACTACTATTAAATGAACAATCTCATTATTGAAAAACTATTCAAAATAGTCTATTCATGTGGCATTTTAAGAAACATAAATAATTTGAAGACCTTCAGGAATATCTTATGGATATAATATCATTTTTACTTTTCCTGTCCATTTGGAATTAACAATAATTCTACCAATCTCCTAATAATTATATAATAATATACAATAATCTATTAATCCAATAATACTATTAATCTTCATCACTGTCTTTCTCTAACATTAGCTTTTCATTATCATTATCTTCAAAGGAACTAAAAGCTACAAAATGTTATGCAATGCAATTATAACGTCAAAATCCCACTTGCAATTTGTCAAATATAAAAACATATGTCAGCCATAGAAATATGCTCGCCATGTTACTGACACAAAAGCAGAGAATTAAGAGTGTGAAAATGCATATCTAGTGGAGCAAGTATCAACTTCTTCCACCTCTTCAGAAATCACATTCGAAAACTGAAATAACGTATGTCTTTGTACATGCTTAGAACAAGTGGTCCTTCAGGATTAACACTGAAGGATTGATAGTGGCTTTCAAACTTGGTTAAAGAATTTCGTATAATGAATATAAGTATTAAGTTTTGAGGTTATATTCTCTTTTTTTTGCTGTAACTATTTTAAAATTTACAACACTTTCTTTATAATTATTATGACAAGTAAATATACTGGAATTATAATTTTCATTATACAGTAAAACCCTGTTTTTACGTTCCTGCATTTTACGTTTTCCTGCCTTTTACATAATTTTTCGTTGGTCCCTTTGTAAAGCCTATATTTACAATGCATCCTATTCCCGCAATTTACAACTTGATATGAAGAGTTCTCCCAGTCTTTTAAGTGATTTTTTTTTTTTTTGTTAATTTTATTTTTGACTTTCTCATATACATACGTATTATACGTAGTACAGAGAAAGTTATGTAGTGCTGCGGTAAAAATAGCGATATTTCGACAGAAAATTTCATACTGATACAGAAATAGTTGATAAATCCTGTTTCCATATGTAATAATTTACTACGTACGTATGTAATGAACTCTCAAAACCATAGAGTTTGTTGAGATCAGTCGAGGAATATCAATTTTGGAGAAAATCGGCTGACGATGTAGGGACTAGCGTTGACCACAAACGTTTTGCCGTCAATCAGTTGCAGTCAATTTGCTGTTTCAAAGACCCCTAAATCAAGGATTCAGGCTACACCACGTGTTAGAGGAAGTAATTCACTATATACAGGAATATGATGTATCCACTTTTTCATTACCAGGGCCCATCAATAAGAGATTTTCTGGTGAAATTCGCGTTTTCCGGTGCACGATTATTCTTTATCGTCTTACAAAGGGTGAGAAAGTAAAAATAGGGTCACCATTGCAGTAAATAATGAAAGTATTTGCATAGCCTATTGTTTTTCACCTTTCCTTCGTTTTACACTTTTTTTCATAGGTCTCCTGAAAAGGCTAAAAGCAGGGTTTTATAAACATTATTTTCCTCACTTAGACATGTTAAATATTTCAATATCTTCATACCATTATAAGTAATATCCATTATTATTCAAGTTAGTATTTAAGAATTATCATTGCATCATCATCGTCATCATCAACATTAAGGCTTAGATTTGCTCTTGACAAGGTTAGTGATGATCAAGGCGAAGAATGCCAAATGTGCACGGGCAACATATCGGTACAATCACTATCAAGTCCTATTGATTACAAAAATATATTAATGATGTTGATAATTGTTTTCTACTAGAAAACTACAAAACATATATTAATTAACAAAGTTACTCTTCTTTTGTATCCATCACCCAGTTTTAACATGTTTTGAAAACTAAAAAATTATAACTGTATATGATGTGACTTTTATCACCCAAGAAAAATACTCTGTAATTCATCCTCCAGAAATGTTAAGTTCAATTCTTACAGTGCTAATTTAATTTTTAACCATTGCACATCAGTGAGAAATGACACACTTAAATACTCATATTTGGAAGAGTCTCCAATTATTGGAAATGGAAATATTTATGACAATTTCTTCTGATTATTTAAGGTTTAGTGAACAAATAGAGATTACAATGAGCATCAAAAACAAAAATAAAAATAAACCCATCATTCTAATTCTAGAGAGTAGTGGGTATTTAATTTAATTCATCAGTGATGTTAATGTTTTAGTTTCCATTTGTATTGTATAATTCTAAAACACTAAATATGTCTGAAGCGAGTATTGTGGACTAAGACAGGATTCAACTGTCACCATGCCTGTTCACTATATTGTCTACCTGAAAATCAAGGACTAGTAACTTACAATCAAAAGGGAATAAATCTCAGTAAAAGACAGAAGATTCATACAATCTTTCACTCGGATGTAGTTGTAATGAAGGAATCTGAAGATAACTTACAAATTGCAGCAAATTAATTGTATAAAACAGCACTGAAACATAACATGAACATTTTTGCAAGCAAGACAAAAGAAATGAGAAGAGTGAAAAGTGTCCTTAATGGGAAAATAATAAAACCAGTATCCAAATTTAGAGAATGAGAATAAAGAGATTAAATTAAGAATACAAAATATAATTTCAAAATCAATACTCGTGTCAGGATCAGATGTTTGGACTATGAAAAGTTAAGATTGACCAAGACTGGAGATCAAGCAGATGAGATTTCTATGCCTTCTCATAGGAATCGCATTAAGGGATTGTCAAAGAAGATAAAATATAGAAAAAGCATGAAAACTAAAATTAAAACAAGGAATATAGTAGAAAAAATAGAAATAGTTATCACACTTCAATGAATGAATGAAATCAATGAATGAAAGAAGACAAAATCCCAAAGAAGTATTAACCATTAGGGCAAAGGGATATGCGAAGACCACTTCAGCTTGTGGATTAATGACCCCCATCTTGATCAGATTTTTCAATATCCTGTGATCCTTTGAGCAAATGTTGAGATGGCCCTCTCGCCTGGCTTCTTGGGCCATGAATGTGTCTTTCACTGTCTTCTCATTCCATTGAGCTCTCTTTGTGCTAGTTGCAAAAAGAGTGGGATGGAGAAGAGGTATTTCATTTTTCCGTGTTTCCTTAAAGTTGACAACCAATTTGGAAATTCAATATAAAATTGCATTTGACCTTGTGTGATGGGATACATTTTTTCATTTGTATATACACATGTATGATTTATATTATTTCCAGTCATGTACAAAGACACCACAATGATACGAATATGAGTGGCACTTACAAATCCCTACCTGCTAATGAGAAATTAATGTAAGTATTTTATAGTGAAATGATTTATATGTCGTGTAAGTTGGAAGAATGTGCAATAACTGTCTTAAAGCATTATATTGATTGTTAATGCTATGAAATTACTACTTTCAGTAAACCTGAAAAAGTGGAGAGTAAAACTAACTCAGCATGGTACTGTAGTCATTGCAATCAACATTTTAGGAGTGCGTCTGTTTGCAATCTTCATACTCTTGTACATGCAGCTGAAAATGTAGAGGAAACAGAAGTAATTACTGGTGTACCTAATGACTTCCCAATTCTTCCTAAGAAGGCTATTGAGAGTGACTTGCGCTGTCCAAAATGTACAAAGGTATTTATTGAGAAAGTTATGCTCTTAAGTTATGTTATTTATGTTTATAATTTTTATATAACATTCACTTTTTTATATAATGCTTTTAGAAAGTGGAAACTTCTGATGGTGCTAGTGGTTTAGAATGTGCTGTTTCTAAACTAGTTCAGCCATCTCAACCAGCAAGCTCTCTAAGTAATTCTCATTCAGATAAAGAAGCTATAAGTTCTGGAGATTCTAGCCTTACATTCAATTTGAATAGCCAGAATAATTTTATGGAGACTCGAGTTGTTGGGATGGACACGTCAGAATTCCTTGCTCATAACTCAGCTGATGACGATCACCATATCAATTCTGTTCTTAATTCTCTGAAAATGCAAGGTATATCCTTTATATTATAAATATGTTTTGTTTATGTATAAGGTATTGTCATTGAAAGTTTGTTTACTTTTCTGAATAATTTAGTTTGCACATTTAAATTGCTAGTTAGAAATGATTTTAACATAAATTGGAATAGGAAAGTACTTTAAATCAAAATAAGAATTGAATTATTTGCCTAAAATTTTGTTGTCAGGTCTAGTGATTGATGAAGAGGAAAATGGAAGTCTGCAGCTCCGTCCTTCACAAACTGATGAAACTTGTGTGGATGACAAACTAGGAGATGCAATTCAATTGCAGGAACTGAGTCTTGCTGTTCAACAGCAAGAAAGAGATCTCTTACAACAAACTTTACTGGGAGGGCCACTAAATGGAGATATATCGGGAAGTGTGTCAGATCTTGGTAAGTAAACTGAAATACAATCGTAGGGTAAATATTTCATTAATTCGTCGTATAGAAAACCAGCGTAAACTTGTCTATGCTTAATGCTACCCTTTTGCATTTTTCCTTCCTCATGTTTAAGAAGGAGCTTCTTAAGAACAGAAAGTTATACAATGCTGCATGAAAAAAATGGCATGCAAAAAATGTTTGGCAGAAAAGCTCGTAATACAAACCCCTAGTAATGAAAAAGTGGCTAAATCCAGTTTCTAAATTTAGGGGTGGGAAATCTTCTAACACGTGGTGTAGCCAGAATCCCTGTTTTGTGCTTCTTTGATACCGAAAAATCAATTTATGGCAATACGTCTGTCTGTCTGTGAACAACGCTTGCGGCTAAACCATTCTGATATTCTCCAAAATTGATATTCCCTAATCGATCAGGCTGATGTCGGGGCTCCTTGAATTTGAAATTGATATTTTAATATATAGGGGTACTTTACACGAAGCCCTGGGTAATTTTCAAAATTTTTTAAATAATGGTTCCATCGATTTTCATTAAATTTTGTTGTTGGATAGTCTGAAGGATGTTGAGGAGAATGGTGCAGGTGCCATGTTTGTTAAAAACTTTGATTTTGCGAAAATTCCAAAAATTCAAAATTTTTTTCAGTGTCTTCCCACAACTACGATAATGAAGTTACAAATTCGTAATGAGCCTGCTCAGAAAATCCTGCGCTTCATCGTAATTTTGGAGGTGTTTTGAAGCAGTTGAATGCTATGCAAATTAGAATATAGAATGTGATAGAATGTGTATATCATTTCATATTTTATATTTCTTTGTTCTTTTCTTACATTGTAGCTTTTGTCATACATTTACAAATTAATCTTATTATTTAAAACCTATTTGAAATAAATATGAAAGGAAGGTTGCTAGCCTCTAGCTAAAAGGCGATGATGACGCAACTTTTCATTCGCGGTAATAAAAATGAATCCCTTTTTTGTTACAATACCAATACTATACAATACAATACTACAATACCAATACAATACAATACAATACAATATTACAATAACAGAGTTTAAATATTACTATTATGTATTTTTCAGTATATTTGTTTGCCAACATTATCCGTATTGTATTATTTATTAACTTTTAATTATTTTACATTTTCGCATTTGGTTATTTTTCACACCATATTCTACTTCTAGGATTTCAAATGAATTTTACAAAAAGTAATTCAGAGAGAAATTGTGATATAAATAGTATTACATGACTGCAGGGCGGATTTTGATCATGTCAAACATTACCAAAAATGATCAATAAAATGCTCTTAAAATGCTTTAAAAATGCCCTAAAGCAAAAAAACAAAAAATGACATGAAATTTTTAGTTATTAAATTTTCTTCAAAGAATTGGTTTACAAATTTAATTATTGAAACGCATTGTTACTCAGTAACATGATCACAATTTGGATTTCTTTACGCTTGCGGAACATATTCTCTGAGTGTAATTGTGTCCAACAAGGTGACGGGAAGGTGACAATTATATATGTAAAAATTTTATTAAAACCACTTCAGATGAACTACTCAAGATGTTGGATATGTTACTTATGTAATTCAGGCTTTTTCCTTTTGTTTAAGTGAACTTAGCTTGCAAACTTTGGTTTTGGACTGTTCTTAAAAACAAAATTTCTGCCTTCATTTATCAAGAAATCGGCCAAACTGACAATGCTGCAGATATGTCACAGGAACCTTAGATTACATAGTACTCGCAACGGCTGACATTATAATACATGAGCGAAGAAATCACATAGGCTACTCAGAAATTCTGTGGTGAACATTTGTTGCACCTCGTAAATATTTTTTCAGGAAGTACCATTAAAATGATATTAATATCAATGAGATCTGTGAAAATGCAGTAAAAGTGACGTAAAAAGTTAAAAAATGATTCAGTCAAAATTGACGTAAAAAGATTAAAAATGACAAATAAAAATGTTCCAAAAGGTGGAGAGTTTTAACGTTTTGGGATCTATCCTCAGTGAGAAAAATACAGTACAATACAAGCTGAAATAAATGAAAGGTTAAGAACAGGTCAGAAAGCATGCTCTGTAAATCAAAAACTATTAAAATCAAATCTGCTGTCAAGGGATATAAATATTACGATATATAAAACAAAGATATAGATCAACTGAGTATATTTGAAAGGCGCATATTGCTTAAAATATATGGGCCAATTCATGTAAATGCTAACATCTGGAGAATAAGAACAAATCAAGAATTAGAAAATCTAATAAAAGGTGAGTATATAATATGATTTAAGGATCAAAGAATCAAAAGGATGGGTCTCATTCACAGGATGCAGATGAATAGACCAAAGATGATCATGTTGGCAACAGGTGGGTGCTAAAAAGGAAGACAACTATTCAGTGGATGGACGACATTTGCCAAGATCTCCAGGAGTTGTACAAGTGAGACTAGAGAGTGATAGTGAATGATAGGAAAAAGTGGAATGATTTAGTTGTGAAAGTCAGGACCCTTAAAAGGTTGTAGTACTAATGGAAGAAGAATTCAAAAGATGACATCTATGAACTCAACACTAAGTTGAAATTAAAATTGGATTCTCCCAGACGGAGATTAACATTAACTTATCAAACCTTTTTCATTAATGAATGTTGTTGGGTGTTCTGGTGATGCCGCATTGAAGGCTGTGGTACTGACGTTTCGACCATATGGTGGTGTTCCTCAGGGCTGGTCCGCTCACAGAAACTGAAGTAAAGAAACTCCTTAAATTCGGGGCATCACAGAGAGGATTGGTAAGTTATTGAGACAGCTCCAGGTAAAGACGACCTCCTTGGCCCACCAGATGTTCAGCTATACTTTAGTAAGGGTTAAGAACCAGCTTCTGTTACTCCAAACAGCAGGAGTATATGTTGGTCCTTGCAGTTGTGGTTGCAACTAAATCAGTGAAATCGACAGAGCAGTGGAAGAAAGCCCACGCAAGCATGTTTGCCAGTATAAACATAGAAACGTTAAATGCTTCGCTGTCCCCCAGTACGCATGGGGAACTGGACATGACTTACAAGATATAAGGGTGCTTGACAGTGATTCCCTTAAAAAAAAAACTATTTGTACTGTACATACAAATCCATTCATTAAATTTATTATGTGTATCACTTGTTTCGTACCTTAAAATATCATGTATTTGTATATTTTTAATGGCTATTGATTTTAGTTATTTTTGTATTGTAATGTAGTGAAAATTGTATCTATGTTTTAATTCGTACTTGTAATCATATTAATTTTGCTGTGTAATGTTGATCATTTGTTTATACTTAACGTATTCTTTGTGTGATGGGTGAATAGCTCAAAGACACCAACCTACAATAATACTAATGATTTTCTTGTACTAAAAGGAATGAGTATCATGATTACTTTCAAATTTAACTTTAATGAACCTCCCACAACAATTATCAGTTTCTACATTGCACTTTGAATGTAATCATTATTGCTGTAATAACTTGTTTTTGAAATAGAGATACTAACTTCAGATCAACAATTTTCAGATCAATCGTTATTGAATGATGATGATAAAATGTCAATTGTGGATCCCAGTCAGGAGACAGTTGGTGCATATACAGATATTTTAATGGAAAATACATCTGTTGAAAATGCCATTGCTCATGAAATTACAGAAAATAGCCTGACCCAGAAAGCTCTCGAAATATGTACCAATTCTAAACAAAATGATAAATTGCCAGACCAAAAAACATCAGTAGGAGAAGATAAGTCTATCCGAAGTTGTGAATTCAAAGACTGTAAGGAAGAAAATTCTTTAAGTAAGAGACTAATACATTAATTGTGTTTATTATTTAATATAAACTGAACTTGGTGTTAAATTTAAATTAAAATTGTTTCAGATATTTCATCCATACAAGACAAGCCTGTGTTAGCTATTGCTTTACCGTCTTTCCCTTCTGCTTTCCTGGCCATCAGGAAACTTCCTCCTAAGAAAACCGAAAAGATAGGCAAGTGAAAACCAATATTTTATTATTTTTCAATTGACATTTTATAATTTTAGCTTCACATTTCAAAGACAGAATACTTTTAAGCTTAACTGAAAATGAATTGCTTCCTTAGATTGATTAAATGTAAAACCAATTGGGTACATATGCAAGCAATTGTACACTTTTTTGTGCAATTTGTATTGAAAATTATTAAATCTGTCAATTTTTTAAATCTTGCCCTTATGGTGTTTTAAGTACACATACATATTATATACACTTATATACATATGTACATATGCGTACCCCAAAAGAAATATATTCCAAAAGAACAGAGTTTATACCCATTGAAGAGATTTTTGTAAAAGATGATTATTTGGGATCTTTTAAAAACATGATAATTCAAAATAAAAGTATTATAGAAAAATTCTAATTGCTCATACTCAGCAATTAAAATTTGATTGAAGCAGTTCCCAAGTATACTTCATCGTCATCACATTACCAAATCATTGATAAAATGTGGACGAGTCCGAGTTCATTTTATCAAAGAGCCTTAGTGCTGTCCTCAAAATAATATACAGGGAGAGTGGCAGCAGTTTCATTCGTCCTGTATAAGCTGTGTTATTTGTGGAAGGGTATTTTTGTGGGCAGGAATCCTGTTTCATACAGCATTTGTCATGGGTTTTTGTGAGTAAAAGCAATGAATCCGGCACTGGTTGGGTGTCATTACAACTGCTGGCTCTCACTGTGGGGGGAAAAAATTCCTCTGTACTAATATTCCATCTATCGTAGTTGGAAACTATTTAAGTGTCTTATATGCGGGAAGAAATTGTCTATAATTTATATGTTGGAGCTAGGGACACCCCATATTTCTCTTTCAAGTGGGTTCTCTTATAATGAGGTTCTACTATATTTTCTTCTCACATTGGAGATATGATAAAGATAAAATTTTTGTCTGGAAAATTATATTGTGTTCCTAAATCTTCATAAATAGAATTGTGTACTCTTTATAATTATTTTCCTGCAGTAAAATCTTTATTTTCCACATTAATATCTTGTGTTGCCTTAATATGTTTTTAATAGAAATTGAGAGTGACATATTGTGTTCTGGAGAATGCAATATTGATTTTCTTTCACTTTTTTAAAATTTATTTTATTTCATTTCAGTGTATGGTGTCTTTGCTCGTAAGATTTTGTCCAAAAGAATGCAGTTCGGACCCATTGAAGGGATCTTTGTAAAAGATGAGGATCATTTGGGATCTTGTCAAAAACAATACGATAATTCAAAAGATCTTGTTTTATCCATTGAATTGGAATCTGGTGATTTGCAGAAACTGTATGTAAATCCAGGAGGTAAGCCAGGAGCTTTACTTTCTTCACTAATGTACTGTTTGTAATCTTCTGAAATAACTTCAATATGGAAAACACTCCTTTCTTTTTCCAGACTCGTGGTGTTGGATGAAATATATCCGAACTGCTCCTTCATTCAAAGAAAGGAATTTGGTTCTTAATCAAAATGGTCAGTCTCTTTTTTTTATGACAACAAAGGTTATTCATCCAAAAGAAGAGTTGCGAGTATGGTACAGCTTGCCATATGCGATAAAACGCAATTTACCTCTCTTGAATCCTGATGTTTTAATTCGAAAAAGTAAGTTTATCACAATATAATTTATTTGCCATTCTGTTAAAGGCAGAACTTAATTTTTTTGGTTTCATTCATTCAGATTTGGAGGTCATGGACAAAGTTTGGCCATGTTTTGAGTGTAGCGAGAAATTCACCAGTTCTGAAGCACTGCAAATCCATTTAAATATACATGACTTCGAAAGGGTAAGAACTGGCCTTTATTGCATATCACTTAATTTGTATTGCATTTATTGAAGTGTGTCATAATGTAACTGAAGTAGGCATGTGTGGAAATCCAAAAATTGTGAGAACCTTGCATTGGACCAGACTTAAAATCTTAATTCTTATTTGAATCCAGACCGCCTCCAATTTAAGTGCATTTGGCATCTCATACTCATTGTGGTTCAATTGCATGATCTATTCCCCACCAGCTACTAAATGACCTAAAACTCTGTGTCTTACAGCTTCTCCCTCAAATAGAATAATTATTTTTACATTATATAATGAACTTTCCCTAAGAAATGCTTGTTGAGATTTTAGATGTTAACCTTTGTAAAATTACAATATTTTTTTTTCCTTCTGTATTATTATGTTTCCTTATATTATGCGCAACCAATATTTAATATTGTAGATTTAAATAGTCATTTATTTTTTAACATATTCATGTACGTTTCAGGATCTTCTATGATCCCATCGTTAGGATTCAATTTCCAGCAAGTATGCATAGTTATAAACATTCAAATTAGTTACGGTTGTGTATTATTCAAAAGAACAAGCTGGTTTCAGAAAGGACATGGGAACCAGGGATCAGATAGCAAACCTAAGATGGATAATGGAAGAGAGTAGAGAATTTAAAAAGCAACAACCTATATTTATGCTTTTTGGACTATTTTAAAGCATTTGACTATGTGGACTATCTGTTATGGAGTACTTTAAAAAACATAGGCATACCAGGACACATAATAATTCTAAGACAACTATATACAGAACAAGAGGCGATGGTGCAGTTAGCAGAAGGAACAACTGAGTGGGTTAAAGTTGGCAAGGGAGTTGGACAGGGATGCATTCTCTCCCCGGATTGTTCAATGTGTACACAGAAATTATCATAAGAACAACGAAATTGGATGTAATTAATGTTGGGGTGAGAATTGGAGAATACCAAAACAACATCGCCTCTTGCAGAGGACAGGAGGAAGGCTGAAAGCAGGACTCTAGCTGAATTTAAAAAAGACCATAGTAATGACAACAGGACAGGAAAAGAAAATACAGATAAATGATGAAGAAATAAAAACTATAAACAAGTTAAAATTTCTGGGAGTAATTATAACAAAAGATGGACGATGCACTGAAGAAATTTAAAGAATTTTTTTGGGAAAGACAGTGGTGAGTAAATGTAACAAATTCATTAAAGACTCGGGCTTATCAATTAAGATTAAAACTAAATTAATTAAAACAATGACTTTTCCAATAGTTTTATATGGCTTCGAAAGCTGAACTTTCTTCTGTCCCTAGACAAAAGAAAGATGGATGCATTTGAAATGTGGTGCTGACTTTCTTCTGTCTCTAGACAAAAGAAAGATGGATGCATTTGAAATGTGGTGCTGGCGGAAAATATTGAAAAGTGATTGGACTCGCAGAAGAGGAGCTGGATTGGAAGAAGTGAAGCCGGATTGCTCTTCAAAAGCCACAGCCATCAGACAGAATTGATCATTCTTTGGACACATTGTAAGAACGGAATCACTGGAAAAGGACAGGATATTAAGGGGGGATCTGGGAGACCGTGAAGAAGGAGAATAAGATGGGACGAGGAAATCAAAAAAAACAATCAACTTGACTTGGATAGAAGCAATGAGAATGACGCTAGACCGAACAGTTTGGAGGAAACTTACAAAGGAAGTGACAACAGAAAGGAAGAGAAACTTCGAGGAAAAGGCTAGCAACCAACTGCTATGAAGGTCGCTAGGGATCACCAAGAATCGCATATGATTTACGTATTACACACATACATACACCCATTATTCAAACACAAATTAGTGTAGAAAAGATTCTTCCACCGTCCTTCGGACAAAGTGACTCGTGCAAAGTTATTCTGACATAACAAAATTTAATTAGAGTAATTAAGATCGTATTTTATATTTTAATCGTGGCATAACCAAGACTATATGAACATTTATAATTTATGCCTAATTGTTGGAAATTTAGCATACCTAAAGATGAGATCTTTAATATCCTGAAGCATACATGATATGAATCTATTAAATATTAAAATCTGGACTGTTAATACTGATTTTCCTTAATATATGGAATCCTAATAACTTTGAATGATTATTGAAAGGAAAATCACCAAGTCTATGATGGTGATAATGATATTACTATTACTAGCTGAAAACTTACAAAACTTTTGCACAGTATACAAGTGAAATGGCACTGAAATACTAAACTGTTGTAAAATTCCATACTTGAAAAATTATTCAAGGCTTATTTCTTAATTTTTATTTATTTAAAATATTAATTTTATTTTAAATCAAAGTATTTTGGGTTTATGCCAACCAAGTTCACTTGTGCAAATCATTTTATGGTGAAGTTGTTGCTATGCTGCTGATGCGTTTCCTAGTTGCCTGCTAGGATCATGCCTCTGTCTTCCACAATATACAGTAAGAAACATTGTGTCAATGCAATGGATAATTTCCAATGCATCTCTTTACAATTAACTTGGCATAAACAAACTTCAGTAAAACCTTGCTTTTACATTCTGCAATGTACATGTTCCCGGCATTTACATTTCTTGTTTGTTCCATCAGTTTTTGCATATTTGTAAGGTTATAAATACCTGTCACTTGCAATAGTGTAATTTCAATTTTCCTGCGATTTACAACAGTTTGCTTGCCACAACACCATCTGGAGCACTTTGCCTTGCGCACAATGGGCACTGTCGCTGCACTTTCCCACCACCTTGCTGCGTTAAAAATTAACATAACAGAAAGACTATTGAAATGATGCAATATTATAAAGAGTTGTGAAATGTTACAGGACGACTAGAAGATTTAAATATAGTGAAAATCATTAGTGACCAGTTAGGCCTACACAAATTTTCATTTTGTGACATTAAGGAGGTAGACAAAATGACCAATGTGCATTGGACGGAGAATAAGGTCTGTGGCACAATACCTAAAGCTAATGACGCCAGCTGCGTCAATGCCTGTGCACATCAGTTGACATGTGTGGTATCTTACGTAAAATGACATACGAGCGCTCTTGTTGACGTTGTGTTGTTGCCAGTGCTCGTTGTGTAGGGGTCGTCACGCAAAGTATGGTATCAACGTACATTGAAAGCAAGAAAATGCTCTTTATCTTGACTTACATTGTAGCTTGAGCATCTTGCTTCAGCTGTGGCCACAACGCATATCACTGAGAGCACTCGTGAGCCATTTCACATAAGGTGGCAACAAGCATCATTGATGCGTCTTATGTGACATGTGCACAAGCATCAACACGGTTGATGTCATCAGCATTAGGTGAATCGCGTCAACACGACGCTCATGTGAAACAGACCTACCACAAGTAGCATCACAATTTGTTTATTTTACACCATCTTCCTTCACAATTTCACACTTTCTCATTCTATAATAAACGTATTTTTACCTGGTTGTTTAATAGCTCAAACATTAAAGTATGGAATTCACTGTGCCTTTTTAAGTGTAAATTGGGGGAACCCTCTTTCTATTATTTCATAAATAAATAAAAAATGTTGGAATTCATTACAAACTGACGAAAACAAACATTTTATGAACTTGGGGAAAATGTTAACTTCGCATTTTTTCTTACATTAGAAATAGCATTTCCCTCCTTTCATCCAATCATGAGTGGGTGGCGGGGACTCGTAAAAGGATCATTGCGACATTTAAAATTCATTGTGCTTCGGGTAATATGCCTTCAATTTCCAATGTCGTAAATCTGTCATATTTCTATTTATCACCTGTAATTTACACCATTTTCCCTAGGGTCCCATGCAAAGTGTAAAAGAAGGGTTTTATTGTATTTGACTGCAAGTTGACCCTGTCAACCTGCGATTACACAGGCTGTTCGTTACAATACACCTCTGTAATGTATAGACATAGCACCAATGTATGCATAAATCTTTCTACAACCAAGATGATGTTGCATGTTGCAGTCCATTCACTTCCTAGTTTTATTTATTTATTTATTTATCAAATAGGCAATCGCCCAATGCAAAATCATTACACACCTACAAAAACAAGTATCTCACCACAACCAACTCCACAACTTTTCAAAACTTTTCAAAACTCTTCAAAACCACACAATACTCACTATCACATCACATCATCACAAATAAAAAACAGAATAAAATAAAATGTACAAAATCATCTAAAATTATCACTACTCGTATTTAAAAATGATAATCACAAATATACAAAACAAAAATTAAACAATGTCAATCAACATCACTCTTTTGGCTAATTTTCGAAGGCACTTTTCGTCAGAGCAAAATTAATATTATTGTTATTTGCTATCTTACACGTTCTGTGGAATTGGAGCATTAAAACAAATTGGTTTTAGTGAAAGACAGTGCATGTAGTTCTTTATTTTTATTTCTGAGGCTTCTCGGAGGAACCTTTGAACAAACCTTGGATAGTAATGTGGGACAATCAACATTATTATTAACGAGATTATAAAATAACAAAAAATCATTTAAAGAATAATAAGAGGAGAGAGAACTAATATTTAATAAATTTGCAACCTGTTTATAATCATGGGATAGCCTCGGCAATCTGAACTTGTACGCATCAAAACTGAAGAAATAATGCTGGATGGAATCAATTGTTTTTATATAAATTTTATAAGAGGATGGCCATACTGGAGAAGCATATAATAGAGAAGGTCTAATTAACAATAGGTTTACTATTTTAAAGGTTTCAATATTTGTAAACTCAGTGGTCATCCTCCTCATGAACCCAAGCATGCAATGTTTTATTACTAAATATGGGTGATCAATTTCAAATATTATTTTATATAATATATAAAATTCAAATATGGATAACACAATTTCAGTCATCATTGACCATAGTACATACAGATAACTTTTTGAACAATACCACACTTTTCTTAAATGGCTCAGTACTTCAGCTGGAATGGTTTCTCTCCAATAAAATTAATGTATCATTATCATCATATTACTTTTATCTAATCAACACTAGTTGGTGTTTTATTTTATTGTTATATTTATTATTTCTAACTGGTATTATTATGAAATATAGCAATTATATGAGCTCTTGTCTGTTGTGGGCATAAGGGATTGGAGAGAATTGAGGGTGTAGAATAAATAAAGTATTGGAGAATATTCTTAATATTTGAAAAATTTGAAGGATTTTACCTCAACCTGAGCTTCATGCAGTTAACTTTCATTTATTAGAGAAATTTCAGCTCTTATATTTTATGCCCTCATGCCCTTTATGAAAGGATTGACTTATTACCATGAGAACATAGAAAACAACAATGTGAACATGTAAATGAAATGGTTTGAAATAACTGTACTTTTAGGGCTCATTGATGCTTACCTAATTAGGTCCAAGTCGGAGGTGAGGTATTGGCATATGGTTCCACCATTAACATCAAACTGCCTTGAGTCTGCTTAATGAATAATTTTCAATGCATTTTATGTCAAAATATTTAGATGTCAAACAGTTTATTGTGAAAAAATAAAAATAAAAAAACAACTTAAAACTACGTAACGTAATGAAGAAACTGATTAACAGTGAAGTTATGAAGGGGGTAAATATTGAGCAATTCTCTACCTTCGAGTCACTGGCGTAACTACAATTTCGGGAATTTTTGTTATACAACCATTACCAGAATCAGAACACATTCTGCAGCTTAGGAGCTACTACTAAAATAGGAATTGCTGCTAAAAATGTTTGAAAAGAATCCTTTATATCTTTTGCAAATTGAATAACAGAAATCAAATTCTTCACACTCAAACTTGTATAAATCACATGGTTATTCTCACTCTTTCTTTGGGTCCAATATTTCATTCTTGAAAGTATTTTCCATCTGTCTGTACTTTCATGTCTGAAACAAACTTCACACAGGCACACAAAATTAAGAGAGGTCATTGTCATGAAATTTAACACAAAGTTTATTGAATACAAAACGCAAATAATACTCATTCACACTACAGAACAAAAACATCCTGGTTCTTATAGGTTCCCAACTGTTGTTCTTTGCTTTCATTCGCTGACATCACAGTGTCAGGTGCAGATTTGGGAATGGGGCCAGCTTAAGGGAGAAGACATGAAATATGGTAGGGTTATGTCCTGGTATGCATTAAAAGTATGGGAAACTTAATAATTTAAGTACCGTGTTGTATTCATTCACAAAGGAATGAGTTGTAATTAAATCTAGATTAAGTAAAGTTGTAAACTTTTATATCAATATAGTACATTATTTGTTAGTACGTTAATATATCTAAACTATGAGAAATCCTCAATATTACAAGACGGACATTTAAATATTAATGATTATTTTAGTTTTACGTGTGTGCTTGATGCATGTCCAATTTATCTTACTTTATGCTGCATGTCAAATTTATATTCTGCTTTTCAATTTTGTATTAAACTTTAAGTTGATGAAAGTTGAACAAATAGGGTAAATACACCTTGTGGTTATTCATGCAGGAAGATGAAGATCCTCTGGATAAGCGTTTAATGAGGAAAACCATTCGAAGTTTTCGACGAAAAGGCATTCATAATTTTTCTCCCAGGAAGTATAAAAGTAGTTCAAATAAACCAAGTGAGGTATGTACGTTATTTTCTTCCTAATAATTTACTATAAATTGTATTTATATACTATCACACTATTCTCTGACATACCCTTTTGACTCTTCTAGCTTTAGGTAAACTTCTTAACCCTGTATGCTCCTAATTTTTTAGGTCATACATTCCCACCCACTGTTTATTTAAATCCCACTGGCATGCTCACTACCACGGTACTTGCACTTCATTGGCAATTTCTAAGTTTTTAATCACAAAAGAAGCATCTTTTAATTTAGTAACTATGAAAACAAGTTAATCCTTTAATAGTCTAATATGATAAATTGAAATGAATAACTGTAAACATGATATACCTTTGCTCTGTTCGCACTTGATGTTCTCTGATGGATGGCACTGCTTGTTCACAACAAAACTTCCAGAAAGTGAGCTGAAAATGAAACTGGTTTCTTGCTTGGCTTGTGCTGTAATCATTGACCTATTGTAATGTAATACGCATGATGTTTTTGTAAACAACGCACCAACCCTATAAATAAATCTGAATGTCTGAAATTTGAAGAGGAACTTTTTATTTTAATAAATATGACTGTAGACATTCATGAAAAGAAGGAAGAAAAAAGTTTCCAAAAATAGTTGCAATGTTGTAATATTACATAACCAATAATATAAGAATGTGCTTTTGTCACACCACTAGTTTATAATTTGTTAATGAATTAGTTTATAAAATTAATAAAAAATTAATTTGTAATAAATTCAAACAAGGATTGTGATGGTAATCCAACAGACTATGTGGAACTGAAATAAAGAGATGAGATTTCACTGGTAGAGTGAATATGTTCAGATAATAGGTTTTGTTTAAGCCTTAGCCATTACTCCCATAATTAATAAAGGAAAATATGCTATTGTGACTGGACTTGTAGAAAGTTTCCTTTTGTCTTTATATTTGTTGTAAGAGTGAAACTTGGCTCCAGAATACTGGTAGTTTCAACATACATAATTTTTACTATGTCTTGTATTCATGAAACAATACTATACAATTTTTTTGTTGTACACTTAAATTTGAAGTCTTTTTAGAAAATCAGAAATATCTGAATTATAAGATTTCACTGGAGAGCATGCAATTTCCTATTTGTTTATTTATAAAAATGCAAGAAAATGTATTAATGAATCAATTCACCCTTCTTTAAAACATGGTTGGTTAAGTTCTAATTTTTCTATTAATTTATTAGCCTTTGCTACTTTTTCCCATATCATGATGAAGAATGATGGAATATTTTTGCAGGGATTTCCATATCAGTGTCATACGTGCCATCGTGCATTTCCCAGAAATTATAATTTGAAGAGACATGAATTGTTACATGCAAAAGATAAAAAGTACATGTGTGAAGTATGTGGATGTCAATTTACCCATGTTTACAATAGAGATAGGTAAGAAGTTTTATGACAAAGAATTTTATGCTCACTAGATGTGCATGTTCTATGTTCTTATTTATTATGTGATACAGGCACATTCGCAAACGCCACAAAGATCTAAATAAAAATGGAAACTCCAAACTTTCTGCATTCTTAAAGAAAAAGCTTGGATTGTAAGTATATACATATATATTATGGAAATTATTGAATTATGATTATGTTTTGTCTTTTAATAACTATAAAAAACCTTTGTTTTCTTTTTCAGAAAATCAAATTCTCAGAGTGTAAATAACACCAATATGGAATGGTGTTGCTCACATTGTAGTCTGGGTTTTGACAGCTTACGTGTTCTGAACATACATACCTTATCTCATGGTAATAGAGAGTTCATGTTTGATAAGGAAAATCTCAAGTGTCCCCAGTGTTGTGAAGTGAGTCTTATGTGTTCGCTCATTGAAATTTGCTAAAAGTAATTTCATTACTGATTGTCAATTAAATGATATGTTTATTACTTGTCTTAGGAATTTATCACAAAGAAGGAACTTGTAGATCATGTAGCAGAGCATGGAAAACTTCTAAGTCAAGCTCGTTTACGTGGTTCTTCAAACCCTGCCAAACCCTGGAAATGTGAACTGTGCTACAAATCATTTGCGACAGAAGATCGTTTGCAGGTACGTTATTTGCATTAAATTCCTTATGTGCTACCATGTAATTGTAATTAGTGTTTTTAAACTACAATTGTGAAGGGTGTTAGGATGTGTTTTAGCTGAAAATCCAATTCAACAATCAATGTCTTATTTATTTTAATACATTTTGTGGATTGTTTTGTTTGTCCCTGTTAAATCAACTTATCTTTGTGTCATATTATCACCCTTGGTTGTGGTTGGTATCTTCTCTTATTGATAACTAAATTGTTGTTAAACTTAATCTGCATCTGGATAAAATTTCTCCCCTTCCTTTCACCTCTCCCATTCTTGTTCACCCCTCCCTCACTCATTTACTCTCCCTCTCATTCATCTGTTCCTCTCTTTTGGTGGTGTTTTAGCCTTGTAATTCATTTTCTAATTCAGATGTTTTCGAAATGCATGACACTATTCTATGTTTTTTTTTAAATTCCTATTTCCTTGTTATGATGTTTGTTTGCAGCGCCATATGTTGGTTCATGGAGCAGAAGAATCTAAACCTTTACAGTGTGATATTTGTTACAAGAGGTTTTTAAATAATTCAGCCTTAGCTTGCCATATCAAAATTCATACAGGTATGTTGCAATTATACCTATTGTTTTGTACATTATAATGTTGTTTCATAAACATGCTTACAGTTTAACCAGTATTGAAACAGGTTTCTTGTTCCCTTTTATCTACTTTTATATTTTCCCTCCACTATCTTTTTATCCGTGTGTTATTATAAATTATTCCATTATTCGTAGTTTAGGGTAGTGCATTTTTGTACAATTTATTTGTGTCACTCTTCTCAGTTCTTTCTGTTCTCTATCTTATTGAAAAATAACATACAAATCCCAAGTTCTAACAACGTTTTGCTTCTGAGATATTGGAAGACAAAATTATGTAATGGATGATGTGAATTCAGTTTTTTCTTTTTTTTCTTCAAATATTGACTAATAATACCTAAGTATGCAGCTTCCTTTCGGCTGTCATGCTTGGAAATTGCAACTTGTTGTATGCTGTTTTGTGATTTTCTGAAATTTTCACAAACTATATTTAAAATGGTGATCTTGCATCCATAATATTTATACTTACAATCCAAGCTTTTTCTTTAAGAATGCAGAAAGTTTGGAGTTTCCATTTTTATTTAGAGCTTTGTGGCGTTTGTGAATGTGCCTGTATCACATAATAAATAAGAACATAGAACATGCATATCTAGTGAGCATAAAATTCTTTGTAATAAAACTTCTTATCTATCTCTACTTTTGCAATGGTGCATGGTGACTTTGCCAGCAGTTTCATCAGAAAAACTATTTTTTTCTTTGTAGGAAATCTGACATGAAACAGCACACAACAAACTTAACTTTGCAGATCCCTATGAATGAGATGATAATGTACTGTTTTACCATCGTTCTTCAACAAGTATTTACTTACTTTCCCAGCATTTCCTAACTAGTAGAATTGTGAGGTTAATCACCCCAAATCAAGTAAATGTTTTTGCTTTTTGTAATTATTATAGAAATAAATAATTCGTTTTTATTGACGCCACCCAGTACTGTATACTGCACAAATCTTGTTGGGTAGCTACATTGCTGACTATAACATTTAAAATTCTTGACCATTGAAAATAATAGAATTGTTTTCTGAATGCCCCTGTATGGCTCATGGTCAGTATGTTCACTTTTCACACTGCAGAAGGGTCCAGTTTCAATTCTTGGAAGGAGCAAAAGATATCAGTTGCTTCCGGAATATAGTGGGAAGTCACAGTCACTGTCGAGAAGCTGTAGAGAGCTGTGGATGGAGCTCAGTACTGTGAGAAGTTTTACTCCAAAGCCCAGTTAGTGCTTTAGTATTCTGTCTAGATAAGAAAAGCACTGGCAAACTACTCCGCTTCCTTCAGTTGCCTATTAGGGATAATCAGTGTGACTCTCTAGAGGTTCTTTGAGGACCCAAATCAATTGGGAAGTCTGTTGACTTAACAGACAGATTGATTAACCCTCTAGAACATGTGCTGTGGACTGTGAGACTGCAAATTGAGTTTTCTTATGAACAGTGGCCTAGAAATTAGACCTGCAATTTCAGGCTTTGAGTACTTTCTGTTTCAACCTTGAGGTTTCTAATGGTAATTGTTAATTAATCAGAAGTTATTAAATAAATATAAAAGGAGCTTTGTTTTAAGTTAAGACCATCTCTCTGATTGAATATACCGCCATTTCTTACATCAATACACGGTTCCGCAGGCAGAAGCATCAATACTATGTTGGCCAAGTGATTTTTAAAAAATGCATCTATTTTCGCCTTATATTTCTAAATTACTCTTTATACCTCCAATGTTAAGCATTGAACAAAACATGTGAATAATCTATTCACTGAAACTGAATACCTGTTCTTCAGATATTTACAGTTGTTTCCCGTTCTGTTTATTTTTAGTTAGAAGCATGGCATTTCCTTTCTCTCTGGAAGAAGTTCAAGAGCTATCCCACTTGTGCAAGATAGATAGATTGATAGTAATGCATCTTCATTTATTGAATACATAGTATCAATGGTGGGTTGTGCCTTTAAGGTTACGGGTTCACGAAAATGACTGTGAAAGAGGGGCTGACCCAGATATCTCTGCCATAAACTTTATTAGTAAATGCTAATGACTGTCTGATATTGGATTTTATTGGCAAAACATGTGGAACCCATCTCAATGTTAGTACTGTAACGTTTCTCAGTGGTGAATTAAAACACACTCAGATAATATTTTAACAAAAACGTTTATTTGTTTACAATGCTACACTAAAAATACTAGATTTATTTACAGATGGGTTACACAGACCTTGTGTTCTTCACTTGATTATTTTCCTTACACACGACTCTGTTTTCATGATTATTTATTTACACAGTTCACTTCTACCCTATCGCACAGTCCGATGCACTGTACACGGTACACTGCACCTGACCACAATTCACTGCGCAGACCGGGGTCCACTGCACTGCTTTTCACCTACTGCACCACTGTTCACCGCAATGCACACTTAACAGATCAGCTTCCACTTCAGACTACTACATACTCACACTGACGGACTAACTGCTTACTCACTGACTACATACGCTGACTGCTACTTCTACTAGCGGCCGCCGGCAGCGGCGAATGTATACCTGGCCGTTGCCCGCATCGAGCCATCGGGAACGTGCGCCAAATTTCTACGCGACTCGCGAATAACTCCGAACTGTCTAGTTCTGTGGAAAGGGAGGGGGAGGCCGGCAGATGACGCAATCCGCGCAGCGAATCCCTGCAGGTGATGCAATATTCGTTACAGTACTTTGTGAACCACCAACCTTTGGGGACTCCAGCCTCCATTGCATAGGATAACAGAATCATATTATTCTTGAAACCAAATATGGAACTCCATTGTAGACATTTCTGAGGTTATACAAACTACTTTATTGGAAATACGTTTTGTAGGATCTAATACCACACTTAATAGACTCTTTGTTACAAACCACTCTGATGTTTATCTTCAGACTGAAGAAGAAATTAAAGAATGTGTGATGTGTGTACAAGACCGTAATGATGCGGTCAGTAACTTTGAGAGTAATCAGACAGGCAGAGTATTGTTGTCATATTTAAGATAGTATTGTGTTCATAAACGAAGTGATTCCCCACTAAGGCCTTCTTGCAAAACATGTTTACTCTGAGCATGTCTGTAATGTGTAGTTGTGTTAAAGTTAGCAAAAGTGTTAAAAATAGAAGAGGGTTAATGCAAGCCACATTGCATAAATTTGTTATTTTTTTGTTTTTGTTTTTTTTAGCAGAAAAGAAGATGTTTGAATGTCCTATTTGCAAAATGGTCTTTGAACAAGTTTTATCTTTAAAAGAACATGTGCACTGTCATTCAGAGAATGGGGTTTACACATGTCCTCAGTGTAATAAGGTAAGTTTTCTTCTGTTATAATTATTGTGATTTCCAAATGTGTCTTTTTCACATTATATAAATTTGTTCATGAACCTATACAAAATGTCTAATATCCTCAAAATAATATAAGTAAGGATCTCTTATTGTTATAGTGAAATAGCCTGTACTAAATTGTCACTACTGAATGAAATAATACAGTATTATAATTTGTCTTAGAAAACCCATCATTCAACTTTTAAGATATTTACTATCCTTCTGAAATCCTAATGAAATTACAAAATATTAAAATCATGGGTAAAATGTTGGAAATTTTGACACTTGGATATTTGGATATAACCAATTCTTCAATATTATTAATGTACGAAATCATATAAATAAATGTGCATAATAGTTTTATGGTGTGTTTCAAAGGAGGAAATAAGTTTCGTTCTGATTTTTCTTTTTCAAAAGATTGGACAACTGTTTACTTTTGTTAGTTAATACACAACATATGGTCTTTGTTTTGTAATGAAGGGAACGTGCAATTTTTTCATCCATGAATTCACTGTTTTGATCAAACATGGATGATATGTAGACACAGTAAAACTTCACTTATACGTTTTTCAGGGGACTAAAGGGGAAAAAATGTATATGTGAGAAAAATGATTAACTGAAATTTATTATTATGAGCATAATAAAAACTCAATATTTTTGCACTATTGTTTTTCCAGTTGTTCAGCAATATCTCCTTTTTTATTGCCAGTCTCCTTATCAACCTTTTTAAACCTCAAAAATTTTATATTATCTGATATTAAAAGGAGTTTCCTTTTCCTACTACACTTTTTGGTCAGAACTGACACGCAATGGGGGACCTCACTGTTGACTAGGGGGCGGATTTTGATGATCTAAAACATTGCCAAAAATAACCAATTAAATGCTTTAAAAATGAAGTAAAACATTTCATCAAAACCTCTTCAGATGAACTACTCAAGCTATTAGATATGTTACTGATGTAATCGACGCTTCTTCCTTTTATTCAAGTGAACTCAGTTTGCAAACTTTGGGTTTGGACTTTTCTTTAAAAGAAAATGTCTACCTTTATTTGTCGTGGAATTGGCCTTATTCACAATGACGCCGAGAAACGTCACAGGAACCTTCAATTACATAGAACTCACAACGGCTGACATTACAATACAGGAACAAAAAAACCGAACAGGCTACTCGAGACTTCTGTGGTAAACATTTGTTGCACTTCCTAAATATTGTTTGAAGCAATTTTCATTAAAATAGCCGATCCGATGGCCGAGATCGCTAAGGCAGTAGTGGCGTAGCGATCTCGGTCCGAAGGGTCGCTGGTTCGAGACCCACCTCGGCCATGGTTGTATTGTGTTCGCCCTTTCTCCCCCTATCATATCGTGTCAACCTTACAGTTACCATTCAGTTACATGCAATAGTGGTCGCTAATGACCTAGAAGTTGATACGACCTCAAATCAATTTTTTTATAAGTATCATTAAAATCGATGAAATAAGCGAAAATGCAGTAAAAATGACGTTAAAAGGTAAATAATTGCTTATTAGTCGAATTCGACAAAAAAATGACACATAAAAATGGATTGTTTCAATTTTCGTCATAACATGAAATGAATTTCTATATTAAACTGCATTATTCTAAAATGGAAAGAAAAAAAATTATATTTCATTAAAATCCGCCCCCTACGGATGACCTTGTGCGACTCTTGTTTCACTGCGTCGATGGCTGTATCCTGCACGGGCTACAACTGGCGGCAGCGACCCGCGGCTGGTTGTTTCGGTTGTAAACTTGATGTTACTTGTGATTCCGCGGATCAAAGCACGATGTTCTACATGGGCGACAGGAAGCGCGACTGCCACAGCTCCACATCCTGGCGTCGCCCCCGGCGCCGCGCGTAAAAGCGATCAGTTTCTTTAGCTGCTTGTGCCATGCTACTACCAAAAGAATCTCGTTATTACTGTCAAGATAAGGGCCTTCGGAGAATGGGACAATCAGTGCTCAAACTTTCTCACTTATTGGTCATGTACGTCGTTACTCTCCCGGGGACACTTTAGACCTTCCTTCGGAGCTAGCAGTCGCCTCCTCACATCAGCGACAGGTCGCTCCGCGGGACCGCTCTGGAGCGTACTGACTCGAATAACATGCAAGTTACATGCTCTCGGGGTAGGTCACCCCGCGACACCCCGGGATCATTTCAACGTTATGCAGCCTTAAAGGGACTTTTATTATGTACGTATAAGTGTGAAAAACGTGTAAAAAGGAAATGAAATAATTTGGCATGGGAATTATAGGAATTATTCCGCCACTTACTAAAACAACAACAAACGTGCAAGTGAGAAACGTATAAAAGAAGTTTCACTGTATGCATAATTCATAAGGTATTGATTCTTACTTGATCACTTCTGATGTATAATTTTGAAAATTATAGAGTACTCCACATTTAAGTTCTTAAAGTTAAAAATACGTAAATAATAGTTTTTCTCTTACAATACAAAGATTGTTTGTGTCTCACCCATGAAATGGTGTCATTTTGGGTCAGTTTGTCTCCCCCTCTCCCGCCCTCTCTCCCCCTCTCCCCTCTTCTCCCCCTCTCTCCCCCTCTCCCCCTCTCCCCTCTTCTCCCTCCTTCCCTTCTCTCTCCCTCCTTCCCACTTTTGCTTTCCTCATTGATACCACTAGTTCCATGAATTTTCTGTATTGTCATTTTGCACAGTCAAATTTGACAAATTGCTAACATTTACCAGTGAGAACCTTTATTAATTGTTGTTCCTAAGAACTCTTGCTTTTTTTAAAAAATTTGGATGTTTCCTGCAATTCCTTAGGTTAATCAGTTTTTATGATAATTTCAAATTTGTGGCAACAATGTTTGTAGTACTGCATTTTCCCAACATTCTCTGAATTCTTCATACTTATTTAATAAAATGTACAGTACTAACAGTAATCAACATTAGATTTAATTGTGCTCTTTGTTCTCAGCGACTTCTTAAATTATTAAAGATTTTATTGTTTTGGCTTCATAGCTGAAGTAGAAATTACATACTACACACTCATGGGATAGTATTATTAGACCATTTGTATCGTGTGGGGTATATATTTCTCCGTCTGGCTGTATCTGAGAATTACAGTAATCTAAGATTCTTAGAATACTGTAATTGTGGTTTACATTAGACCAGGAAATCCAAATTAAGCAAACATTGTAATAATTTTATTGCATAATGATTAATATAATGTTCCAATATGAAATAAGTTCTGTAGTAGCATTTTCTGCTCACCCATATAAATGGATTTTATAGAGGATGCAAATTGGGACTGATTTTCAGCAAATATTGCTTCATTGCAGTCTCGTGAAAAGCCATTACACCCAGCTTCTTTGTATCAAGGACTGAATTCAAAGGTTATCTAAATTCTTTTCCTTTTTTGTTCCTTTCAGGTATGATTTATATGTATTATTTAATTGATTTGAAATGTACAATCTCTGTCCAAGAGTATTATCAAAAGCAGTTGTTTTCCATTGCTAAGATATGATCCTTTAAAAATCTGAATGTTATAGTTTTCAGTATTTCTAGAATATATAGCTCATTTGTTAATTGCAGGACATTCTAGAATCATTTAGGGAATAGGTGATGTGAATCTGAAAGACTAGTGCACACATGGACACAAACTGCATGATTTTCTGTGGATATCACTACAGTTAAACAGTTTCAAAAACAACTTTTGATTTTAATAGCTATCAGTATGGAACTGTGATTCACAAAATGTATCTACTGAATGTGTGTTTTTGAATGAACATTAAGCATTAATGACATCATATTTTTACATTTTACTTTCTTGTTATTTAGTTCCAATAACTTGGTACTGACCATTTATGTGGCAGAATTATCTCTTCAAATGTCACTCTGACACAACATTTTTTAGAGAGATGTGTTGAACACTGAAGACAGTCTTCTGGTATACACATTGCTGATTAGAAAATAAATTATTAAAGGCTGCATTTAAAAATTATATCCATGTATTCATTTTTAACATATTTTCACTAATCATTTGAAACTTATTCCATGATGCTCAGTGTTAACATGTAAAATCTCTTTCCACAATGCCATAAGAAGTAATGTCCATGGCCATTGCGACAACTGAACTTTTTCATTGCAGTTGACTGGACATCGCAAAATTTCTAAACAATCGTAATATTTTGTCATTGTGTCTTAATGTTCAACAAACACCAGTATCCAAGTGTGAACTAGATCTGAGATATGTTGGCTCGCGTACAGCATCGCCTTCTTATATAACATTAAATAGCTCCTTACCTCACAGAAGTCATTCCTTCAGTTAACTATGGATATAACAACTGAAGTTATCCCTGGAACAGACAAGAACTTCAATTGAGAATCTGCTACCAATGCAATTTGATCTCAATTTGAAATTATTTCTTCCAGGATCTTCCAGTACATCTCCCTTTTTGCCACCTACAAAATAGTTTTCTCAAATTATTACATTTTGGAGAAAATTTAATTTTTCATAAATCTTTTCAAAGTTGCTGTTTTTCTTTATTGTGATATTTGTTTTGCTTTAAAAGTTTTGTGAAACAAAATCACATGTAGAACTGGGAAAATGGCTATAGAATTGCCTTTGTGTTCAAACTTTGTCTTGAATTAGCTGGGAACTATAAAGAAGCGTGAAATATCATTAAAAGAATGGAGAATAAAGCCATTCGTGTTTATATTATTACAGAAATTGTTCCTGGCTCATTCAACTTTTTAAATTGCATTCCTCATGCACATTATGGAGGAAAAATCATTTGTATGTCTTTATATTCTTTAAATTAAGGAAGAAATGTTGCAAAAATAGCAAAAATTTGTGCGACATGTTAAAATCTTCATGACAAAGACTAGATTGTTTTGTTGGCTGCCAGGTGTTTGATGACTTTAATCAGATCCGCAAGCATGTGCGGGCGTTTCACAGTAGCAAAAGTTTCCCGTGCAGCCTGTGTGAGAAGGTGTTTCCCCGGCCAGATAAACTCAAACTGCACATGCTCAGGTATCTGCAGCCTGGAGACTGGTGCCTGGAGCTTGTTCTCAGCTCATCCACTCTTTCGATGTTTTCTAACTTTATTTTGTTTCCTTCCATGTATGGATTTATGTATTTCTTATCAAGTGGTCACGTTTTTCACTTATTCATTTGTCTGCGCCTGTTTTCTTACTGATCTGTAGAGTAAATATGATTTGTTATTGGATATTGCAAAAGGAATATGTACAGCATGCCAGGCTACAATTTCCTCATATATTTGTAATACAAAAGTTATTTGAAGTAATATAAGTGAAGGGGTTCACTAATTTAATGTTCACACATTGAATATTGAACACAAGTGTTTTGTGCTTGGACATATTAGTACTCTGTAACCGATTCAGAGTAGGTATATGATGTTCTTTTATTGTTGCAATTGTGGTGATAGCTATGTATATTATTTTATTTTTGTGAATGATAAGGTGTTATTTGTAAGCACTGATATGAAAATTTGACTTGGTTTTTGATTGGCATAAAATATTTTATCTCGATTTCTTGTTGAGTTCATACTCAACTACACAACTGATCACTGTGTGGGCTTGATCATTCATGTTTGACAAAATAAATACGTCACACAAATGTAAAAGATTCTTTTTATCAATGTGTGAGTAGTGAGCATGAAGGTGTTGACATGTCCTATGGCATGCTTGATGTGTTGTTGACGTGTCACCCTTTTTCCCTTCTTACCCACAATATTTGTTGTGAAAAATTGTTTCCTTAAAAAACTTACTGAAGTGTGGAAAGAATGTCTGCAAAGAAAATTCATGGATTTGTCATCCAATTGCAGAGACTTTTCTAGGATTTCAGTTAAATGATGAAAAGTATAAAATATTTTCAAAAGATTGAATAGGTAACAAAAGAAAATAAATAGATTAAAAAATCCAAAACTATTTTATAATATTTGTAACAAAAATTTAATTTTTTGTTAAAAGAATTGTGATGTTGAGTATGTGTTTTTGATTTTAAATTTCCAGAGTAGAGTAACATTTGTAAGTTTCTTACAATTTTCTTTCAATATTGCCAACATTGATAACTAGAACATATTCACTGCTTCAAATCTTGTACTTTGGATGAAGAATGTTAATGTACTTTGGATGAAGAATGTTAATGAATTTTTTTTGTGACTACCGCAAATAACTGTTTTGTTGATGAAATCAAAGGTGAAATATATGATAAAGTGCCATGATGATCAAACCTACACGTACATTTTTAATGTTCATTTTATCTTTAGCATGGTTGCTGTGATGTGTTTATTTTCTTGCTCATGTGTGTGTCTCATTCTTTGCCTGGTTGTTTTTCTGTTAGGTGTTTGATGGGTACAGTTTGATCCGTAAACATATTCGAGCATTCCACAGCGACAGGAAGCATACATGCAATTACTGTGGCAAACTCTTCCCCAAATTGGATAAGCTTAGAATGCACATGTTGAGGTAATGCTTTTTTAAGTGTGATAATAGTATTTTGAGGTTAGCTTGTATTAATTCAAATTGATGCACATGAAATACTAAGGAAAATCCAACAGCACATGTTTTTCTAATTCCAGAGTTTAGTTTCCCTGGAAGATGATTTAAAATATTTTGTTCTGTATATGTCATTTTTTAAGTGTTGTTAATATAAAAAAAGTTTATTTAATTGTAAACATTATTAAATTTTGATGATTGTAACTAAAACTCTTTACAGTTGTAATATTATTTGAAGTAAAGTCATTGATTCTGATCGGATCTTCAATCAGAATTTTCACTATAATTAGCTTTATATTATTATTTTTACAGTGGTATCATTTGTAAACGTAAGTTCAGTTTTAAGTGGCCTTGGATACAACCTAGTTTTCCTTTCTTTTGATGTTATTGTTGACAGTTTTGGGATGTTGAAGTTTTATGAAATTGGTGTAATAAATTTCCCCCCCCCTCCCCCCCCTCTTGACACTTTCATAAGGGGAAAGAAGGGTGTATTGGGTATATTCACAAAATACATAATTGCATCTTTTAACCATTCCTTGTTCTTCATTCAAGAGTGTGGAAGAAACTGAAAAGTGTAGCAATTTCTTATTTAATGAAGGTATTTTGTATCCGGCCTTTAAAACAAATTTGTCATTTTATAGCCTCAAAATGAACATAAAAAAATTATTATTCATCAAATAGATAAAATTAAGGGGTTTAGGTTGAATCATTTTTATTTTTTAATCTTAGTATATTCCTGGCTGTAAATTGTCAAAAGTCTTTTTATCTTAAAATTTCATTTCTCTGAAGTAGATGGAATTCCCAAAAAAGATAATGACTCAATGTTTCTTGTTCAATTTCCAGAAACTCTATTCTTAGTATGTTAAAATACCATGCGTTGGTCTATGCTGTGGGTGAAAAAACAGCTGGTGGCAACCTATAGCACAAATGTAGTTTCATAAGAATCAAATTCTTATTTATTTAACAATATAGTTACAACAATTGAACAGCCTTGAAAATTGACAATTTTTACAATGAAATTATTAAAATATGAGAATTCAGACTAGGATTTATAGAACAGTTTTCTTTCTTTTTATTAAAATATTACATAATCAACATTACCAAAATAATTTTTTAATGTCTTTATAATATGATACTAAAAGATAAAGTAACATGTTTGTTGTTGAATAGGGAGCGCCTAAGATTGCTTGGTGCATTTTTAACACCTCTTAAGCACACTGTTTTAAAATGAATGCTGGCCACTGGCATAGGCAATGTTTGTATCTTGACATTTGGTCCAAAGACACTAGAAGTGATATTCATCAGTGATATGTTTTGCCAAAAGTAGCTAAAACAATGCCTAATATCTTCAGATATTTGTAATATATAATTGTGTTTTATATCTGAATCAAAGGTGAAAATAAATTCAAGGAACAATGCAAGAGAATTTTCATATGTGAAGAAAGCATTGTCTATTGAAATTTATTATTAGATGTGTTGACAAGTATGCATATACAACTGTGTTGGGTAGGGGCAGATGTGTCTGTGGGGGGGGGGGATAATTAGTTACAGAGATTGCTTTATTGTTTATCCTAAATGTGTGATGAGATGAAAAATATGTAAAGTTTTCTGATGTATGAAAATTGGGTTTAGTTTCTGTGTTTGATCTGTTGATAAAAATTATTTTTGGGAGAATCTATTCTTTATGGAAAAGGCGAAGGTAAGTGATTAGAACAAGAACATCCCTACAGAGACTGCAATACTATTCTGTTACTGTTGGCTTGTATGATCTAGTATAAGCACCATCAGCTTATACAAAAATAATAGTTTGAAAACAATTAAATAGATCTTAAGAGATTAATGAAATATGCCACTTTTGTTAAGGACTTTCCCAAAGCTATTTAAAAATTGCATTCTGTCCCAGAAATATAAGTAAATATTGAAACAGGATATCTAAGAAGAGGTGTTGGTGCAGAATGACAGTTTATTTGGGAGTTCTGTATCATAACTTAATTTTGTCCTGAAATCTTCCATTTTCAATATAACATTCTCTGCATAGGTTTATAAGCCCCTATATGATATTATGATTTTATGGGTGGAATTTATTATGGGCTTCAGTGAGTAGATATTTTTTTTTTTTTTTTTTTTTTTTGGAAATTTTCAGTGATGCAACTGAAATGGTGTAAAGGGAACAAATGAGGTAACTTTATTGTTATTTCTTGCATGTAACTCAACAGCACACCTGGGTCAAATTATTCACACAAGAGAGGTTTCTCTTAGTTGTAAAGTGGCATGTTACATATGTATTTGTGTTATTCTTTTTGTGTTATATACTGTTGTACTTTGATGTTACGGTTTTTGTAAAAACTATTTTTATTAGGAATCATGGTTTGCATAAAATGAGAGGAAGTAACTGATGATACTGTGCAAGCCTTGGCTTGTTGATTTCTTTTCAGCAAATGATAATGTAACATTGTCTTATGTCATTATTGGAAGTTCACAATCAGATGTAATTTCTAATGGTTAGAAACAAAATCATATTGTCTCGGAAAGATAAATTGTATGGTGGATCTACATAATGGAATTGTTAGTTCAGGATATTATTGACACATACTGAGGCGTAAAGAGTGTCTTTGGTTACCGATTAAAAATTCTTTAAATAATTCTTCATTCTTTAAAACAGAAATATGTTATTGTCTTATGAACTAAGATTTGTTGAACAGTGTTTGCCAATTTCTTAATATCTGGAGTGCATTAATTAACCCTTTAGCATTTACACAGTAAATCTTAATTTAGATGGTTATGTGGGATGCCTACAACACCTGCCTCAAAACTAATGTTCTGCTGCATGCGTAATATGTCAAAATAATATTTCAGCCCAAAAGGTAACTAATTCCAATTAGATTCCTAATTTTCAAGTAATTATTTAAACGTAAAATAACACGCTTTAAATGAATTTCTGACTTTTTACATGGAAACTGTGTAGTTTAAAGAACTGTCGAAAACTAATGTGTTTTTTAGTATTGAACATCAAAAACAATTTCTGGCATTGGTGGTATATTAGTAAAAATTTCAGGCTGTTATACCCAAGTTGACAGGGTCTAACTAGATTAAAGCCATGGGTTTTCAAAGGCGAAAAAATCTTTCATACACCTTCCTTCAGAGAGGAAGTAAAACTGGTTGCCCCATGATGTAAGTTTACTGCCTGTATAAGATCCTGAAGCCTAAAAGTAGCCTCTGAGATAATTTAAATCGCCTATTTCATTGCCCACCCCATACCTTCTTTCACTGCTAGGTGGTGAAAGGATCATAGCAAAATTTGAATGGTCAGACGGAAGAGCAGGCCCAATGGCCTGTCTCACCACGTAAAATAAGGCATCATTGAAATGAATTGAATTAAAAAACAATTTTATACTACTCATAACCCACACTTCATCAGTTATGATTGAGAATACTTCACCTTAAAGACTGAATAGAAGTGTTGAGCAGAATTTTTTGAGACCCCAACTACAATTACGTTGTTTTCCAGAAAAAACTATACAAATGACAATTTTCCTGGAAATTAGGTATTCAGAAAGTTGTAGTGTTGTAAACACCTTTTGTCACTGCTTGAGGGTTAAATTAGGTTTTGTTGTTAATTGTGTAATCGTGTTTCATTTCTTACATTTAGTTTTATGAATACCTATTTTTTCAATGTTTATGAAATTGACTTTGCCTGCTTTTAAATTTTTAGTATTAAAAAATATTTCTCTTGTTGATTTCATGAACTTAATTGCCAAAGGCATTCCTAGTTTTATTTGATATTTATCGATAACTTTTTTTAAATGTCAATTTCGTTACATTAATTAAGTCTCCAGCTGAGTAAAATCTCCAAAATGGTGAACCTGCTTCATTTGCAGAAATAAAATAACTAGTTCAAAAGTAAATAAGATCCTCTTTTTGTATTTGCATTTCATTTCTGGGTAGAATATTTACCCAGAAACAAGTTTATGTTAGATAATTGGTTTTAACAGATGTTGTACATTGTAATTAACTGAGACCAAAAACTCTGATACCTAATAATCTGTTGAAATTGAATGCAGCTGATTCTGGTGAAAAAAATCTGACCTTTGGAAATCACATTCCAGAATTTGAGCAAAACTGTTCACTTTCTCATTTTGAAAAGGGTTTTCATATTATGTACACGAACTCAAGAAATGTCAAGTGAAGTGCAGATGGCGTTATTCCATTATATCTTGAAAATACCAATGAAGAGACATGTAAAGTTTTATATTATAGTTCTTTCATAGAAGCAATAAAAAGATACTATTATTAATCTGAACAAAAAATATGAAAACTACTAGAGCAAGAAAACAAAAATTTACATACCTTGAAAACGATGCAAGGTAATGGAAATTATAAGAAGTCCTAACGAAATAACATTTCTGTTCGTAATTAGGATTTGTGTAAAAGTTAGCTATAATCATCAATTAAAAAAGTTTATGTGTATATATATATATATATATATATATATATATATATATAAATATAAATAATTGCATTGTAAGGTTATTGTAGGAATCTCTTTAAAATATAGTAACATACTATTAGCATTGTGTGTATTCCCAAATTATGATTTCTTCTTATTTGTTGTGATTTGCAATGTATCTACTTCATACAATTTTGTGGGGCAGAGAAAAAACAGTAAATTTTAAAAATCTGCCTTTGTGCTTTGACTGTAGCTCACTAATGGAATAATTTTGTAATTAGGCACTCTGACCATCGAGAGTTTCTGTGTGCAAATTGCGGTAAACAATTCAAGCGTAAAGACAAGTTAAAGGAGCACATGAAGCGAATGCATTCAGCTGAACGTGAATTACGATTGGCTATGAAACCACACCGGCCTCCAACAGCTAAGAAGTTCATGCCCAAGGTACAGGTAAAGTTAGCTTGCCTTACTTCAATTAAATCTCAAATTATTGCCTAGTGTATTATTTGTAAAATGTTCTTCTGGAAATGCATTATAATCAGATGAAAGTTTGAAGAGTAATAATTTTTCGGTTTGTGTTTATTTACAGTAATATTTGACAATAAAATGCTTATATATTTTGTTACTAGTCTGCATTTATATCAACTTGTAGACATTTTCATTGGTAAATTTTGTTATTATTTTATGAATCTGCTTGGATAATAGAACTTCTTTTTTATTGAATTGAATTAATATGTGGAATAAAAATTAAAATGAAAGGGAATGTTTTTCTTTACTTTGTTTCTATAAAATGAAATAATATTTTTTATTGATTTATAAGTTTATACTGTTTACTTCTGTGCAGGTGTCACCTACTGATTACCACCGTTTTATTTATAAGTGTCATACTTGCTTGTTGGGCTTCAAACGTCGAGGCATGTTAGTGAATCATCTTGCTAAAAGGCATCCTGATATTAGTCCAGAATCTGTACCGGAATTAAATCTACCGATTTTGAAGACAACACGTGATTACTATTGCCAATACTGTGAAAAAGTTAGAACTTTTGTCTTGTATTCTTTTTGTGATCAAATAAAAATAAGCCAGTAATTGATTATTCTATTTTTTTTTTTCAGGTTTACAAGAGTAGTTCCAAAAGGAAAGCCCATATTCTGAAAATACATCCTGGTGCTGAATTACCTATGAGCAATAGACGTAAGGTGAGCTAAATTAAAATTAATTTCCTTGTCTTCTTAAATGTTTTTCTTGTGTGGCAGTGTTTTAGGTAGGTATCCATGGCTGGCCTCTTACACCCTTGTCCGTAGTCCTGAACTGGCCACTCCAGAAAATGCTATGAAATGTCGAATCATACACCAAAACCAATATTAGTTGACAAAAACATATTGGGTGATTTAGTGGTGGTTTCAGTGAAGTTTTTTTTATAATGTTTTCTTTCTTGCTTCTCTAATTGTAAGTTTCATGAATTACAACAGTGATTATTCTACCGAATCATGACAATACCTTTGGGATTTAGAGATGGTCACTTTTGTCTAGAACCTTCCTCTAAAGAAACTTTACAATGTTGTGCAATACGCGTTGCACTCATTGCCACCTCTGCAGGGTTCTATTTCATTAAGAACATGAGCAAACCTTTGCAATTTTCTGATTTGCAGGGAGGTGTTCCTGAAATTCCAGGTTTCCCGAATCCAACATTTTCACAGACTGTGGGTAGTATTACTACGCTTCCTCATGGATGTCCATGGTGTCACAAACAGTATGCATCAAAAGCAAAGCTATTGCAACATCAACGAAAGAAGCATATTGATCTTCTACCTCAGTCACAACAGGTAATAGAATTATGAATATTTTGACTAGACTATGTAGACCAGGGTACCCGTAAGACTCGCATAAGTTGTGCCGAGTTCTTTGAGGGTAATGAAAACCTGGTATCTACAGGTGCCACGTTTGGCGCGCAATTCAAGCTCTCCATCTCGGCATGAAGATAAAACAGTATCCTCTCCACAGTTGGCCAGTGTAGATGAACAGGAGCCTCCACTTTCTGGTGCAGATCAGCAGATGATTTTGCCCCAAACAGAGCAAGATACTCAACATCAAAGTGATTCAGCTTTAACACAGTTACAGGGAATTGAAAATGTTATAAATATTATACCAGGTATATTATTAATTTTTAAATGACATTATCTAACATGGATTTAAATTCTATTTAGATTTTTCCAGTTTCTTTGTCATAAAATATTAATTAATTTTCATTCAACAGGAGATTATCATATCAGTACTACTGAGGAAGACCTTCATGACTTTCAGGAATCTGGAATTATAATTGATACTTCTGCAATGGAACGTCCTTTGAAGGTAATTATGAATATTTTTTATAAGTTTTCATACTTTTTACTTTATCTTTTAGTGTATAACAATGTTTCAGTTCTTTTGAGAAAAAAATATAAAAGTGTTTCTATGAATAAGTGTGTTGGTTAAGTTTAAGCCCTCCTAATAATGAATTTAGAAACCTGTGGAGAGATTTCTGCTTTACGTTGTTAACATTGTTCATTTTTTCTTATTCTTCTTAATGTGTACTTATAATCCTTTTGAAATGATTTCCATTCATTAATTCTTCCTCGCTGACTCGCAACTTCTATCCTTCCATTTTTAAGTATTTCACCTATTAAAATTTTAATTGAATAAAAATTAAAAAAATTCCTCTGATCTCCACACTTTTCATCCACATAATCAAATATCTTGACCCTAACAAATATAAATGCCGCTACCTCAGGAACACCTGAAGTTCAGATTCTTTAGTATACTGTTTTGGAATAAAAAGTTGCTGTGTTAAATATATAAAGAGTTTGTCATTTCAGGTGTAAAAAAATCAATATTGGCCCTGTGTGTAACGATCAGACCTCATGCAATCTCTCTGATACAGGACTTACGTTACACCTCAGAATACCATCCATTTACAAATTTAAATCTTTTTTTTTTTTTTTTTTTTTTTCTCTTTCTTTCTTTTTCTTTTTTTCCTTTCCCCTTGAATAATACTTGGCAGAATATATACTTGCCTAATTGCACAAACTTCTGGAACAACAAAATTCAGCAACAAACTGTTGGGCTATAAAAAAGCATTAGTCAGCAAAATGATATAAGAAATGTTCATTTCATTAGGGAGCACATGCTGATGTGTTCTCCCTCCCCTCTTTTATTTTTTTATTTTTTTTTCTTCTCGAATGACCCAACGTGTAAATACATGGCTATTTAAGTAGCTAGCCTGTATAGTTTTACCATACCATATTGTTTCAATTCAATCTAGTTTCAGAGATTCAGAATATGTGTAGGTTTCATGTGATGGGACTCTAGTATTTGTGAATTTTACAGGCTTACCATTTTATGTCAAGACATTATTCAAAGCTTGTTGTCCAATTCATTATGACCAATATTAACAAATAAAATTACAGAAAACTGTCTGAAATTAATGCTTTCTCAGTGTTGTGCTCTCTTTTAGGTAGTAGTGTAAGTTGTATCCATTTCAAAGTCATATCTAACCTTAATATGACTTGAGAGGAGGGAATGTGTGAAACATCATAATTTTAGGGTTTTAACACTGCTTACACAGCATAATGTACGTTATGGTGCATACTGTCTTACTCTTGATAGAAAAACTAGTAGAAGCATATAAATTTCTTGATAAAAATTGATACTATAATTCCTTAGTGTCCATGAAATTAAAAAATGTAAAAGTTTTCATGCCTCTTGCACTTTTGCTGCTACTGTTCATTCTTCAGCCACCAAGTCACTTCAGTTTACGAGGCTTGTTCGAAGGACGACTGGAGTAAAATCGATCACATACAATTTTTCAAGATAAATTCAGTACCTTTGGTTATAGAGGATACGAGAATGTGTTCCCCAGTTACATCACCAGTAGTTTGATTTGGGGGGGGGGGGATGTGCTACAGAACAGGACAGACTTTCTCGTACTAGTTCGTTTTCTAATTTCTTTGGTTTGGGCTATATTTTTCGGTTTTGCCCCCACCCTCTTTCCAGCTGCCATCCATTGTTACAGATCCATTTTTTTCAATTTTTCGATCCCTTAATGATAGAACTGAAACATGTCTTTAAGAATATTATAGAGGAGTATAATATTGTCATATATAGACAGTTTCGTTGAAATCTTTTGAGAAAATGGCATTTGAACGTTTTTGAAAACGTGGAACTTTGAGCTCATTTTCTCAGAATAGTTTTGAGTTTTCGAAAAACTTTGAGACATTTAAAGCACAAGTCCTCACCAATGCATTAATGTATACAATAAATATTAAGGACATGAGAGATGCCAAAAAAATACAATAGTTTAAGTATTTAAAGAAAAAAAAGAGAATAGAACAATACGGCTTGTATGTCATCTTACACAGTGCAATTAGCCCATCCCTGCCAAAAGTTTAAAGAAACAATTTGGAGCTGTTTTTGAGACATTTTTGTTTTCAAATTTTTTTGTGATGCACATATTTCAGGCAATATTATACGAAAACTACTAATATGTTCAAAGAAATGTGATTGCGTCAGTGAAGGAACAAATTAGGGAGAACAAATTTCATTTGAAGAAAAAATCTCTATCTTCGATGTGGAAGTTGTGGGGAGACTCTGAAAAAAGTTAAACTTTTGTAACTTTCTTAAGTTAACAGTAAACACGGGCCTATGCCATTTTGAGAAGCATATTTCAATCTATTCTTAAAACAAATTTAAAGAAAAAATTTGGAGCCATTTCTGAGAAAATTTTTTAAAAATTTTAGGGGCATAATCTAAAGCATCCCCAAAATTTAAAGAACTTTTTTTCAAACTCCCAAAGCTTTGAATTAGGACTGATCCATCAGGGAATATTCATTTTCGATAAAATTCTAGGAATAGTTTAGGCGCTAGTGTTGTTCAAAGATCGACAGACTGACGAACATTTTCAAAAAAGAAAAAGAAAACGCCGCCACTTCTTTGGTATGAGGTGGCCCCTAAACCTGTATTTCTGTTGAAATCCCGAAATAGATTTTCCGCAGCCTTACATAAGTTTCTCTATACTATGTATATTATTCAGTATACGAGTATGTGAAACTAATATTGAGAGGAGGGAAATATGGAAAGTACGAACTGACGGATCCTAACAGGGCCACAAGAGAACCGCCGAAGCTTCCTACCGCTTGTGCCCACTTCCTACACCTTGTGCGGCGCTGGCATGGAGCTGGCATATTTTGCCAAATTTCCATTTTTGACGCACCTATTCATCCGATTTGGACGCTGTTCGATTAAGGGAGCACGTCATAAGTCACGTCACGCTATAAGTTCACAGTTTTTAATTACTTCCCTGCACTAAGAAAAATTTGACAAATTTTGTTATTTTTGTTGCCACATGGTGGCTATGTTGATTTTGGTGTTGCCACATGGTGGAATTGAACTACTGTCGGTACATTTAGCCTTAACCTACAATACAACTCAGTATTACACCATACATATTACTTTATATTTATACTATATGTTGTGTATTATATATAAAGTGCATTGTCAATTTGATTTCAGGTTCTTCCTGATGGAATATCAGCTGATTTGCTGAGTCAAGCAATGTCTGAATTAACCAATGAATTCAGAGTGTCAGTTAGCAGTTCTCCAAATGACCATTATTTACGCATTGTACAAACCTCCCCTGGCCATATCACTGTTACCCAGTCTCCAAGCAGCCCTGAAAACTGTGACAAAGATGCATTGACCCCTTCTACAAATACAGTAATTGGAGATTCTGATACAATGTCCCCTACTTCAGATCCTAACCAAACCTCTCAACTTCATCATCTTTTGTCTGAATCATATTCCCTACCCTCTTCTCCTCCCTCCTCTCCATCTCCTCAGACATGGGCTAATGCTCATGTTACCTTTACTCCATATACTGCCCGCTGACATATTTCTATGTCGTAATTTGTGCGCTGCTTTGGTTTTGACCCTTGGAACCTTGGAAAGGGTTTGTTACAAGGGTGTAAACAAAATCTTGGTATGAGCTCTTGGGAGTTGAAATCTCACTGGAGCACCAAGGATGTGACTGCTGCCATAGCAGTCCTTTTGTTGTTCAGGATGAAACCTGGCAACACGTTGTGGGATGAGAAGAAGTATAAGATCTTTTGTTGCAATGCAGCACAAGTGTATTGCATTTTTTCTTCTTTTTCCCCCGCTTGTGGGCTTTTTCTTAATTATTCTGGATCTAAGATTTTCTCATAAATGGTTACATTTTGTCAGATTGCAAGTTTTGAAAGGCATTGTTGGCTACAACTAAATATTTATTTGGCTGCATGAAGGAAAACAGTATGGTACACCATGGTCGGAAGAAGTTGAGTAATTTTTTATGAATTACTTATTTAATAAGGTGATTGAATTTTACCGTTGTTTGGATAAGGTAATGATGCAGTCATAATTTTCTGTGTAATGTGTAGCTTTGTTTGGTATTGGCTTGCAAAGAAGAAACTGTAGTGAAAAATCTTCAGGCTGCTAGTCTGTAATCCTGCAAACTGTGAAAAGCCTGTTTTTCACAGGCATGAAAAGTCTTTGTTGAATAGTTTGTATTCAGAAATAGCTAAAAAATGATGGGTTATGTTGCAATATTAAAGTTTCTTCCTAGAAGAAGTCTGGTTATGTTGTATTAGTAATTGTAAAAAGATTTTTTAACAAATAGTAATTTATGCCTGCTTTTATTGGAGATACACAAATATGTGGATAATCTGTAATGCAAGAGATTGCTTCTTGTTTACATAATTTTTAAATGTATAGTAATTTATTTTTAACTCCAAATGAAATGTTTTATTTTTAATTGTTAAAAACAAATGCAATTTTGTAGGTGGTACGTAAGGGGTAAAATATTGTAATATGTAGTTCTCTTGAATTATCCTAAAGTGTGGTTTTAATAATATTACAGTCAAGTGTATGAAATATTTGGGTATGCCCATTTCATAGAGACATAAAGAGAATTCAGAAAATTCCTAGTAAAATAAAATTGTTGCAAGTAAGGTAAATGTGCCTGTCAGTTTAGCCTTGTTTTCTCATTCTTGTTATACACGGTTAAAAAAATAATAAATTGCCGTGTATTAATTTTTTATTTTATTACAATTTTTTGTAGATATGAGCACATTTCTCATCAAATATTAGTGTCATGTATGAGGAATGACTTGTTTCTTGGGTATAATTTAATAATGTAGTTAAGTATGTTTTGTTCTTAGATGCATGAGTAGTTTTATGAACGGGTTTTATTTGATTGTGGGAACTGTTTGAATAAACATTGGAAATTTATTCTAAGCAGGGATATTGGTCAGTCCTGCCTGTGTAGTATGTAGCATTTCACA